CATATAGGTATGTATAGATTTAAAAAATTTTAATCCAGTGCAATTTGTAGTCGATATTCTATTATAAAAATGTCTACCTTTTAAACAAGTTAGCAGCACCTGGCTCAGAATCTATTATTAAATCTGTGCTCGTGACAACTGGTTCGCCTATTTCAGTCAACATGGACTTATTTAGAAAATATTCTCTTTATGCCAGCTATTATATAAAAAGGAAGCGAAAATAAGGTGGTTATAAAACTGAAAGGAATTATTTGTAGGTTTAGGTTTATATGAAGTTGTTTTTAATTAACTTTAATATTATTTTTCATATATAATTTATTTATACTTAGAATATTTTAAGGGGTTAAATTAAATTATTAAAGAGTTACATTGCACATGGAGATAAAATCATGGAAATGGAAATAAAATAAAAAAGTGCTCCAACGCAGCTTAAAAAAAGTTTCTATAATGTGTGAACTTTATAAATTTAGGGTGTTATCATTTATCAAAATCACTTAACAAAATAAAAGCAAACCACGCCAAAGAGCAAAACAATAAAACCTCATTTGCTTGCAGTCCGTCATTGGGTGTAATTCATATTATCTTCCTAATAATTGATGCTTGCACTGAAATCTACAGAGATTCGACAAAAATAAGGTGTATGTTCTGACATATAGACACGAAGACGAAAAGGTAAAGCTTTGCGATTTTTATGAAGGTACGAAGAGAAATAATTTTTTTTCTGATTTTATTTGATTCTATTCTGATTATAATATTATGTATAATATTTCCATCGAGCCATAGACAGCAAATGGCTTTAATAGAATACATATCAGTTCCTCCATTGTGTTCAAAATTACCCTTAACTTGGATAATGTCAACCTCATTTTCCCCCGGCACCGGAACCGCCGGGAAGCACTTCTCGTGTCCGCCTCGCAGTTAATTTCCTCTTAGCATATATATCGATTGGTCGATGTACCCTATGCTATGCATAAATTAAAGTTATTCTATATATTAATCGAAATCCATACTAATATTATAAATGTGAAAGTGTGTGTTTGTTTGTTTGTCTTTCTTTCACGCCGAAACGGAGTGACGGATTGACGTGGATTTTTGTGTGGAGATAGTTGAAGAAATGGAGAGTGACATAGGCTAATTTTTACCGCGGCAGATAATATCATTCCCACGGGATACGTTATAATACAACCAAAAAAATATTTATGACCAGAATTACTTGAAATTTGGTATTAGGGCTCTTCAATACAATTAAATATATACGTGTTTTAGCATTTTTTGAAATTCATTCTATAAGGTGGTAAAATAGAGGATGAAAGTTTGTAGGAAATCTACTTTTTTAGAGTTTTTTTTTGTATTATTAGCGCGAGCGAAGCTGCGGGTTCTGCTAGTCTAGTTATAAATTTGGAATTACTCCTTCATGATGTATGGATGAAGTTGGACGAATTTGGATGGACGCATATGCACAAAACGCATAAAAAGACTGACACACACACCTGGTATAACATACGTATAGGCTACTGTTTAGCACATAGCGACGTATTCAAGCGAAAGGGCAAATCTCTAGTCAGTAATGCGATAGGCATTAAGAAAAACTAGATAGTTTGTTCTTTGATAACGATGATAAACATAATAGTATCTTTTAGAGGCGCGAATTAAAAGTACAACAGCGAAAGACTTCCAAAAGAGTCAGAACATAATAATAATAATAATAATAGTAAAAACTCTTTATTGCACACACAACATAGGAAGAAATATAAAACAAAGAACAATACAGTAGTAGCAAAATGCACAAGAGGCGGCCTTATCGCTAAAACAGCGATTTCTTCCAGGCAACCTTTAGGTGTAGGAAATAGCAAAGTGTGAAGTGGAAGGGTGTGAACAAATAACAGAGATAAGAAAAATAAAAATGATAAATACATATATACATATATATGATATTTTATATACGTATATAAAATATATAAATTAGGATACGTAACTAATATAAATAATATGATAATAAGTAATAAATAAATAAAATAAAATAATAATATCAGTTTAACCAAATAAATAAAATGACTACTCTTTTTTTCATTACTTTTAAAGCGAATATTAGAAAAATTTAATAAATATTCATATATAAAAAAGATTCGTCGAAAATTAAATTGTTAAAGCTTGTACATATATATTCAAAATAAAAAAACTATGTTTCATGTTAGCATTTCATCTATCTCATTGTTTTCTTATCGTGTAAGCGCAATTAATAGCGATTGTAATTGCAATGTTAGAATCCTGAAGTGTGCGCGGAATTTTATGTCGATTATCTAAATTTAATAATGATATCTTATCATAATACGTTTTTCACATACGAGTATGTTGGTCATTATGAAATTGTTTGTTTACATGATTATATATTTATTATTATTGTTTTTCCACACAAAGCCCTTACTTTTGTAAGAATAGAAAGAACAAAGTTGTAAAATGTGGAGTTCTTTTGTTGTTAGGACTTGTTTATACTTAAACAAAAGTAGTTTACGTCCAATTCGATAGATTATGTGATCTCAAAGATCGGTGCATAATTCATCCATGGTAAAGTTTTCGTATAGATACTAATAGAATTTTCATAGAACTTTCTCCCATTATTAATCTATTTCTGCTTAATAAAAAAAATTCTCCTCTCTCTGAGCGCAAGATGTCTACCAAAATTCAATGGGATCAGTGTTGTATATTATTCTCCTACGTACGTACATACGTACGTCCTTATTTTAAAGTAAAAGTTTTGGCAGAAACGTATTCCGTATGAGCTCTGTTGTATATAGGCTGGGCTGAAGAGTGACATAGGCTACTTTTTATCAGGAGATTATTTAATTCCTACGGAAAAACACGTTGTAATACAATGTAAAAAAATATGTATGATCAGAATTAATTGAAACTTGATATTAATGCTCTTCAATACAATTAAATATATAGGTGTTTTAGCATTTTTCGAAATACATCCATATGAGAGGGTAAAATGGGGATGAAAGTTTGTATGAAACCTACCTTTTTAGAAATTTCTTTGTAGTTTTAGCGCAAGCGAAGCCGCGAGCTCTGCTAGTTGTTATATTTTTAGTAATTTTAATCTCTACATTAAAATAAAAACATAGGAAACGACCCTATCTTATACCTGTAACGATCACGCTTAACCAACTGCGATTGAAACATTATATCACGGATCTGGTTGCAAGATGCATGCGTTCCCATAAGAAAACTTGAATTATCGCGTGAACAATCTACCTGAAAATACTACATTGTTATTTTTATCGCAACAAGTATATATAGAGTAGATGCAGATTTACCTCGACTGTCTTTTTAATATATTGACCGCCCTATTTGCTACGACCTATTTATTTTTACCTTTACCAGATATTTCCCGGGTCTATTGGCGAATTACCGTTTTGTGAACGGAGTCTTTGAATTTTAAGTGTTTTGTTCGTGACAGGCATCCAAATTTATGTCGTAGAGGGTTTTAACCTCTATATCTCGTAAAAGAGCCAATAACTGTTACTCTGCCTCTTAAACTATACTGGCATTTGTGTCATAGTCTCTTCAATATATACTATAGGTCAATCTTAATATATACACATTATATAATAAATTTTATAAATCATATAAATAAATTTTATTTAACGATTGTCTTGTTATTAGAGCATATAAAATGTATACGGTATATTATGTTATACTAGCGGTTTGCCCCGGCTTCGCAAAAGGTGGTGGTTCAATTTAAAGATGTCTTTGTAATTTATATGCATAAATTTTTTGTTATATAATTTAAATTATTTATCCTTCCTCGCTTCGCTCGCGTTCGTCTCTAGCAAAACAAAAACGAACCTATCCCACGGGAATCGTACATTTTTCCGGGATAAAAGTAGCCTATTTGTTATTCCAACAATTTTATTATACATATAATAAAATTGTAACTAATTCGAATCTGTACATTAAATATTTTTTTGGAAAATCTAATTGAAATAGACATTATTATCGATACAGAGACCGAATCTATAGTTTTTAGAATTTTTGTCTGTCTATCTGTCAGTCTGTTACCGCATCACGAGAAAATGTTTCATTTCTGAGAAAAAGTACAAAAACTGCAATGTAAGAGTATACTAATATGTAAAACCTAAGAATTTGCTTTTTGGTCATCTGAACGCGGGCGGAGCCGCAGGCAATGCTAGTATTAAATAATACGGAATAGAATCATAAAATGTTTTTTTTTTTACCTAAATTATATTTAAGTACGAACTTAAGCTTATATATACCTTTTCTTAAGATTAAAATATTATTATAATAAATAATATTTTAAATAACTCTCTAGATAACTTTCCTTTTATTAGACATATCCATATATGTACATTGTACATATATCCCAAGGAAATTTTAGATATTTTTACGCAACCAAAAGAATTTCTAAATGTAAAACAAGTATTAAATTGTAACTAAATCGTAACAAAACGGTCTATTTAACCGATTATTATCTAATATAACATTATAATTATTATATTTCAATAAATTGATGAATAATTCTTTTATTGAAAATGCAGGAATTTGCAGGAAACGTTTCCTAAGATAAATCTTATGTTAATCAATGACTTAGCCATTGCATAATAAATAATAAGACCGTTTGATATTAAAATCTGTCGAGTTATTTATATGTAACGACCGAATTATCTTAAAATTTCCCACTCCCGTAGAAAACCCCACCCACAGCCGTAGAAAGCTATTAATTTTGTGAAATAAAAAATACTCTAATTATTAACATTAGATATTATAACGATTAATATTCATATTCATTACTCGCGAGAATCATTAAAATTTCAGAAATAAAAATTAAAGGACGTTAAATTGATATAAGTAACAAGTTATGAAAACAATTTAGGTATCTCAATTTTGATGCAGTAATTTCCGCATAAGAACAATAAAAAAAAAATCTCTTTCCCGGGAGGCATCATTATTTTCCAAAAATAAAATGAAAGTACCTCATATTGATGACACGTTTGGCTCAGTTTGTAGTGACTCTACTTGCTGTACCAGCGGTCGCAGGTTCGAGTCCCGCTCTGGGCATTCATTTCAATGTTTGTACTCCAGTCATGTGTGTTTATATTTATATTTATAATATGTATGTATTTAATGTTATATATGTATAGTGTATCAACTATCTGGTATCTATAACACAAGCCTCGTAGCTTACCATGGAACTAGATGGTGCTGTGTTTTAATGTCCAAAAAAAATGTACTTAGATATGCATATAAAATTCAAGCAAGTTCTATCCAGTTGTTTTAAGTGAATCACGTATAAAAATAACTCACAGGCACGACATTGTTAGTACAGATGATTTATATCATAGTGGGGTTTTTGTAAAATATTGTATCAAAAGCTTTATGACAGCACAAATGTTTCCAAGTGTCCAAATTGAAAAGACCTGTTCTCTTATCTCAATTGTGCGGATATCATCTCTGACAAGGGTTCAAATAGACTGGTTTTTCTACGTTCAAATGCAGCCTTGATAGCGCGAACTAGGTCACCGATGTAGCCTCATTCGCGTCATTACGTATTGTTACGTGCTGCTTTTTGCTATTAATAATTAATTTTTAAGCATAATGCAGATGCGATGTCGAAACTTTTATTTCACTGAAGTGAAAGTTCTAAACGTATTCTGCTAAAGACATGTGCCTAGGTTTTATTTAACTACTTAAGTACTTGTTCTAATATATCGTTATTAGATAATAGCTTAAGAGGAAAGAAGATATTATGTTTTATTGTAATCGATAAAATCTTAAAGTACTGAATCGATTTTAATAATTCTTTTACTAATTGGTAGCTAGCTATCAACCAAGATGCTATGGAGCATAGGCTGTTAGATATATCTTTTGCTACAAAAAACAAACAAATCTATCCAACGGGAACCGTACATTTTACCAAGATAAAAAGTAGCCTATGTGTTATTCAAGACTATAATCTATCTGTGTCAAATTTCATCCAGATCTGCTCAGCCGTTTTGGCGTGAAAGAATAACAAGCATACATCCTCAAACTATTTTATTATATGTATAGATAAACTACAACAATGTAGTGTAAAAGCTCTTCTGAAATTTAAAAGTATATCAAGAACTACCTAATGTTATTATTTATTATTTTTTGAAGAGTCATAATACGATATTTTGATGATATGCAGTTATGAAATCTGACGATAAATGTAGCACAAGCCAATTACAAGTATTGTCTTTGTATATACTATACGGTAACAATGTTGAGGGAAACATATCTATACTAGTATACATATATTAAAATTGATACTAAGCCGAATCTGTACATTACATATTTTTTGGAAAAGCTTATTGAAATAGACATTATTATCGATATAGAGGTCGAATCTATAGTTTTTAGAATTTTGTCTGTCTGTTACCGCATCACTGAAAAACCACTGGAGGGATTTTAATGAAATTTGGTATGTTGATACCTGGTTATCCGAGTCAACATATAGGATACTTTTTACCGCGAGAAATTATCTCATTTCTGAGAAAAAATACAAAAACGGCATTGTAAGAGTATACTAATATGTAAAACCTAAGAATTTGCTTTTTGGTAATCTGAACACGGGCGGAGCCGCGGACAATGCTAGTGTATGTATATAATACGATAGTACTACAGATTGATATGATATGACTTACATTTGTTAATAATTGTTTGTGAAAGTTAAGTTTATGAAATTATATACTTAGCATTCTCATCAAAAAATTACTGGAATCATAAGTTAAATTCATTTAACCTATGATTCCATTAAGCTTTTCCAGGTTAAATGGATTACGCTAGGATTAGGCTAGCATCGATTACGAGGTCAGGATTGACGCAATACAGAATTTGGTTAAAAGGAAATGTTCCATTATAATTATTGAATTAATTTCGATAGAGGCAATTTCACTTGTGTCTCGTAAAAATTGTATTTTTATAAGTTTTGTTTTAGTGTATTTACAATTTTCGATGAAAGTATTTTATAATACGAGTAGGTAATAGGTATCAATAATGCAAAAATTATATAAACTTAGTATCTTCTAACCTACTATCTCTCCCGAGACTAATTGCTGTAAAGCATTCGAGACGTCGGGAACCAAAAATCAAAATAAAACGAAATTCGAAAAGATAGTTTTATTTAAAACTAGCAGAACCCGCAGCTTCGCTTGCGCTAAAACTACAAAAAATCCATATCTAAAAAGGTATATAAAAGGGTATTATATAATCTAAAAAGGTAGGTTTCATACAAACTTTCATCCCCTATTTTACTCTCATATAGGATTAACTTCGAAAAATGCTAAAACACATATAAATTATTTCAATTTATTGAAGAGCATTAATACCAAGTTTCAAGTAATTCTGATAATAAATATTTTTTTGGATTGTATTATAACGTGTTTTCTTGTAGGAATGAGATAATTTCCCGCGGTAAAAAGTAGCCTATGTCACTCTCCAGCCCTCCAACTATCTCTATACAAAAAATGACGTCAATCCGTCACTTTGTTTCGACGTGAAAGAGGGACAAACAAACACACTTTTTTAAATTTATAATATTAAGTATGAATGTCAAGTATTCGCGTAAATGTAAGAAACTAATATATAAACTACGTTAAAATGCAGGTTCCTTTTTATAATTTCTAGTTTCTACATAAATTCATTATGATTAGTAGGTTGGTATGTCTGACGAACTTAATGTAAATATTTCCAACTTGATCTGCAATGCGCTTGTTCAAGCAGGTCATCTAGTTATTAAGTTAAAGTAATGAAGTCTACAACAGGTTATCAAATATACGATAATTAAAATGATTAGAGCGATGTAAAGTTTGTAATTAGTTGCAAATTAACGTTTAACATAATTCACCCTCCTGTCGTTTCTCGTCTGAAACAATATCCGATAGCAAGGATTTTCCAGTCTATAACTCGAGATAATTATAAATTTTAAGTGGATCGTCATCGGAAATGGCAAATTATGGGACATTTTATGCTCTCGAGTTAGCTTTTGCTTTTTACTTCAATCAACTCGCAAAGTTAAGTGTAACGGGCGAATTGGAGGACATTTTAGAAAAGTTTCCGTTTACAAAATGGTGTACTTTTCTTAATTTAGTCTGGTTAAATGTGATGAAAGTTTAATATTTAGAACAGCATTATAAGATTTATAAGGTTCATCACAAATTAAAAATGCCTTGAATATTTACAATGTTCATATTTTTTATTTAAATACTTTGAACCTTAAAATATATATTTTTAAATATTCCGAATTCATAATACAGAGCATAGCGTTGATAAATAAAAAAAAAACAATAACTTTTCGGCAAAAAAAATATATTCTTCTTTGACCTCTACGTTCCATAATTCTCTGTTCCATAATCATCTGGAGCGCTCAATATCCGTTTTCACCGTTTTTCCGGATGACAGCGTCTGATAACTTCCAACTTTGTATACGATGGGAAACATAAACGGATTTATGGTTCCATAAAGAGAAGTTTAATAGATTTTATATTACATTTCTACTTCATTTATTGTTTTGAGGACAAATAGTAAGAAGAGAATTTAGTGACCGTGATATCATGATTGTGTAAGTCTACTATATGTTATATATTATATATATGATAACGTATACAATCTAGTCTATTTTTTGAATAGTACTAGCATTGCCCGCGGCTCCGCCCGCATTCAGATGACCAAAAACCAAATCTTAGGTTTTACATATTAGTATACATTGCAGTTTTTGTATTTTTTCTCACAAATGAAATATTTTCCCGCTGTAAAAAGTATCCTATATGTTGACCCGGATAACCAGCTATCACCATACCAAATTTCATTAAAATCTCTTCAGTGGTTTTTCTGTGATGCGGTAACAGACAGACAAACAGACAGACAAAAATTCTAAAAACTATAGATCCTCTGTATCGATAATAATGTCTATTTCAATAAGATTTTCCAAAAAATATTTAATGTACAGATTCGGCTTAGTTACAATTTTATTATATGTAGGTATAGACTATAATGATTCTAGTTACTTCATTGAATAAGCAATAACTCGAGATTCGGTAAATTAAAAAAAAATCCGGCTTTAAGGGAAGAAGTTATTGTGGAGAAACTTTTATGTCGCTATAATTTCTCATCAAATTAAGTATGATTTAAACTGACTCTTTTTTTTCTATGATTCAGCAGACGAAGGTGGCGGCAGTTCGGACTCGCGTTCCGACAGCAGCGAGGACGAAGTGACCGAGCACGTATCACAACCGCCCACTATGGCCGCTGCCAGGGCACAGGTACCGATACAAGTAAATTGACATTCATATATTCTATTTTATTATACTTAGATAAACAATACTCGTATAATATTAGTTATAAGTTGTTTAAAACAGTGGTATAATATAAATTTGAAAGAACCGATGTAACTTTCTTTTATTATGGAAGAAACAACTTTATACTGGGAGGAAACAAATATTTAAATAAGTTCAATTTTAGTTTATGCTAGCTGGTTACAACGCATTTTTTGGTTGCGAAATTCAAAGAGATTTTTGAACCATTCGGGTAAATGAGAAATTATAAAACATTGAGTATTTTCTGAAAATTAAACTTGAAATTTTAAGAAGTAATTCTTTAGAATGCATGCATTTTATGATTTTTTAAATAAAATAAAACTATATTTTTGTTTTTTTTCGCGGATTTATTTTGATTTTTGGTTCCCGACGTTTCGAATGCTTCACAGCAATCATGGTCACGGGAGAGAATGACAATAGTAGTTTTATTTTATTTAAAATGTCAAATATTCGCGTAAATCTAAGAAAGTATTATGCATTTTATGAGGTTAGTCCTAAGTTCATTAGCTTAGTAGCAGGATCAGATAGAAGATCTTTAATTGGTGTTTCTTAGTGAAAAAAAAAAAACAGTTACAAATGTTAATCCCTCCACGACCGCGGACACGCCGGCGTGTCAGTTAACAATAGATTTCTTAGAATTTTAATCAGTTTCTTAGAAATTTACCTGGAGGTGTTAAACCACCTCTGAAACCTTTCTACATACTATGATAAGAAAGCGAATTTGGAAAATATTTGGGTACACACACGTTCACCATAATAATTTCTCTTAGATACTTTAATTAATCTCTTCTAATCTATTTATGCGTGTTAACAGGCTTCTCCTGGGCAAATTCGCTAGAACGTAGACCTTATCTGTGCCTTCGAGCTAAGGTGAAGGTCAAGAGTAAGCCCATTTCTAATAAAAAAAAATCTCAGTAAAAATGGCCGTGATAAACGAAAATAAATCAAGATGACGCTTTCAATTTGTTCCCAGGTGCCTACTATAAGCGTGACGCCACACAGTCCGGGCTTGCTTGAAGATAGTCTTCAACAATTAAGACGGTTACACGCGGCGGTACAGCGTATGCGAGCGGCTCCTTTACCACTATTGGTGAGAAGATATTTTTACTTAACCATATTATAAGATTTCATAGGAAAATCAAAATTCGTGCTATATTCATGCAATTTATATGTTAAAGAATATGCGCTGATATATTTTTAATTAACCGTTTGTAGTTTTAAAATAATTGACATATTAGTTTATAGTAGTTTTTAGTATGGACATTTGTAAGATTCCAGAGCGTCGAAGAGATTATACTATTAAAATTTATCTAGGTAACTAATGATAAGAGAGACCAGGTTATATGCTACTTTTTATACCGGGGAAACATGGGGTTCTTATACCCATTCAAGATAGTGGATCATATTAAAAATGTTAAAATTTAAGAAACACGGGAGTGGAAGTTTTTATTTCAAAAATTAAATATTATAATGAAGTGTACGAAGCACTGTTAATACAGTCACTGTAAGACGAAAAATTTTGAATAAAAAAAAACAATATTTAAGAAAGTTTGAAATTCTCTCTCATATTAGAAGACAACGTTGTGAATGAGGAAAAATAATAATTTACAAGTGTTTATTTAAATAAACCACTTCTAATATTTTTGATTTATTACAGGCCACAGGTACCTGTCGTCTAAGTACATCTTGTCCGTCGCTTTGCAAAGATGGCGCGGTTGAGCCTGAGTGCTCGTCGCCTACCCACCTGGACTTCTATCCTCAAAGTAGAAAAGGAAGTGGTAAGTGATGAAAATGTTTCTAAGTATAGTAGGTAAAATATCCTTGATTGCAATGACTTTGCTTTTATTTATAATAAAAACCTTTTGCATTAACCAATAATGATAAAATTGCATTAGAATGAATGCCACCTGGTTACTCTGAGGGGTTTTCTGGCCTGCTGCTTGTTCACCAAACTCCTTTGCTTCTTTACCTTAAGGGCTCCGACTTCGCCTTTGACAATAATTTGTTGTCTGAGGAAACGAACGCTCGGTACTTCCTACCTCAATCGGTTACGCGTCTTATATCCGGCTCGAAGGACCATGTTCAATCTTTTAAACCTCTTTTATATATCTGATTCATCAATAAAACAAGTAAATAAGAACAAAGACTATTTATTTATCTAAAAAAAATAACTTCAGAGTAAACTAAACCATAGTGCGACTTAGAAAACCGGTAGCGCCATCTAGTTAAAAACATATAAATTATTTTTATTCTGAGTTTCATTTTGTATACTGAGCAAGTTTTTTGAATGACATCCTACTATAAAAACAAGACAACTGTTTTGTCGGTCTAGACCCTAGAGGTTAGCATGCATTGCTGTAGATCCAGAGGTCCTGGGTTCGAGTCACGCGTCGATTTAAGTAGTTAGAGTTTTTCTATAAAAGAAAAATATCAGTGACAGCCCTAAGTTGAGAATTAGAACACCTAACCAAGGCCCGATCCGAGATTTGAACTCAACATCTCCGGACCTGCAGTCAGACATGTTAGCAAATATTGCATGCACTCATGTATTAATGAAATAACAATTATTATTACTAAATGTTTAATAAAACTCTTAATACGGTCAATACAATTCACAGCTGAATCTCGACAATGGGGTATGTGGGAGAGACGTGACGAAGGGAGACGTAGCTCGTGGGCCGCGCTCGAGCCCGGTGCGCGGTTGCATGACGCGCAAAGGCAGAGAAGGTACTGTACTACGTTGGTTATGATAAATAATAAAATATAATAACGATAATATAGCCTTTATGAATGTCCCACTGCTGGGCACAGGCTGGCCTCCCATTAATGTGCAGGGAACCAGGCCATAGTTTAGTAAAAAGCGTGGGTTGGCGGACTTCTTGTGGATTGGACGACCATTTTCAGGTGAAGGTATCTTTAATTAAAATCATATCATCATAACATTTTCAAACGGTTCGAACAATCGATTTATGAATATAAATCTAATGAGTGCCGTACGATCACAAGCGAAAACATGTCTTCCGAAAACTAGTTGGGTTTTCTAAAACATAATATGTATCTTTACCTCATGATGATTTTCTAATTCAATATAAAACAAGTGGTCATTGTTGGTCAAGGGGGTTGAAAATGCCCCCCCCAACGTGCGTTCACCTTGTCGTGGTGGGGGGGCTCAGTAGTGCCCGGCAATCCAACCGGGCGCGAAGCTAAGAAACGCACAGGGAGGTTGCCCACTTCGGTGGGCGGTGGGAGGTGGCCCTCTTCGGGGGGCGGTATACCATGCGGGTTGCTCCTGGTACTTCTCTGATAGCAGAGTGGACTGTGGAGCAACCCCATGGTTGTGGTGGTCTGCTTCGGCAGACCTGCCGTCGGGGCGTCGTAGTTGAATGCGTAAGCGATCCTGTGACGCCCCATTAAGACGGGGGAAGGTTTTGTTGGGTTTTAGTGGGTAGTACTGGCTATATTACGCCGGAGAGTCCCACACGTCGTGCGTAAATGCATTTCCCAACGTTAAAAAAAAAAAAAAAAAAAAAGGGGGTTGAAAATGCACGAAGCAATGCAGTGCAAAACTCGGGGTTTGAATCCATTTTAGAAATACTTACCTGTGTTCACTTTTTTCATTTCAAATGATTACTATAAGTTCTGTGTAACAAAGAAGCTTATACTAAAATAAATAGCGCAATAGTGTTTTTTTTTGCTTTGTAAAATGATACAAACCGATTGAATTTAAGACATGTTTACTAAAGATTTGTTACTTAATTGTAATATTTTTTCAGCACACTCAATGGCCATAGCGCTTCGCTCTCGTCTATGGAATCAGAAGGCGAGGTACCGAGGCCGGTCCGACATTCAACACATTCATTAAACGACAATGATCTCGCTGTAAGTTTATTTTTTTAAATATAATATCTTTTGTCGCGTAAAATTAAAAATAAACGAGTTATTCAATAAACAAAAATCAACCCTTAAAGACAAGATGGCGGATGACGCAACGGGTCTGGTGCCTCGAAAATCTAAATTTAGTCTTCTAGTGACCTTTTTTAAGCTAATTCTTTTACTATTCCTACATTTCCTTAACGTGAATGGACTATAAAAAGGTTGGACGGATTTGTGTGTATAATGCACAGAGAGAGAGAGAGAGAGAGAGAGAGAGAGAGAGAGAGAGAGAGAGAGAGAGAGTATGAGGTAGACTTGTAATGTAACACATGACATGACGGGAACGCGACAGAAGGAGTTCGAGAAGGTGACGGCGGCGCTGCGCGCGGCGGGGCGCGCGGGGTCGCCGGCCGCGCGCCTGGCGCCGCGCCTGCCGCTGCAGAAGTCCGTGTCCACGCCCAGCATCGTGGCCGCCGTGCAGCCGCCGCCCGCGCCGCCCGCCAACGCGTAAGACTTACACACTTACTATTACTTTATAATGACGCTTAGTATGGAATAGGAAGACATTATTAAAATAGCTATGATGAGTTTTATATCACTTACTTGAGAAATTTTTCCCCATACAAACTTTTATCCTCTTTTTCACCCCCTTAAGGAACAATATTCGGGATAAAAATTATTCTACATGTATTCTTCTCAGGGACTCAAACTATCTCCATACCAAATTTAATCTAAATCGGTTCAGTGGATTAAGCGTGAAAAGGTAACAAAAAGGCAGATAGATAGTACTTTCGCATTTATAATGATAGTAAGGATATATTTTCTCATCACAACGCGACATGATCAACATTTACAATATTTTTCTTAACCGCTACAGACTTGACGGACGCTCATATTATAGTTTTATATTCGCGTAAATCTAAGAAAGTATTATGGTAAATAGTAATTTAGCAGCCTATTACTTTTATTGATCAAGAAATAAAAAATGTGTTTAAAACTTTAAAGCACAAACACAAATACAAAATATATTATAAATATAAGTTACACACATGAAAGGGTCCTTAAGTCTATGAAGAGTTCATTATAAATATTTACTTACATATAACTAAATTTAATAGTATCCCTAGAAAAGATAGATTTATTTTAATAAATTATTCACATAGTGTAAATATTACTAACTATACTAATAGGCTTTTTGTTATTGTTTCCATGATATTTCTAGATTTTTTTTAAATATATTTTAATATGACGATATCTTTAGTATAAAATAGGAAATTAATTGCCACAGTAAGTAAAAAATATGATATTTTAAATAATAATTTGTTTGGTTAGCTTAAATGATAGTTACAAAGAAAAATCTTTTTAATAAAAAAATAATAATAATAGTATATTTTTATTTTGTGCATGGTGTTTGATATGTTTAAGGAATATGTATGTGCATGTCCTAAAGTCAGTGTTTTATTGTTTGCACCGTTTTTTGCTTAGCCGTGGAAAAGGCACCAAACATTATGAACCAGCGAAAGACAAAAGCTGGCTTTTGTATTTTTTAATATTACTACTATTGTTAATTACCATATTTTTAAATAATTACAAATAGAGAGAGTATATAGTTCAAAATAATTTTTTAAATGTTTAAAATTATGGTCTTTACAAAAGTATTTACACTGCCCAAAACTATATACAATTTATTGAATATGGGACTACTCCATGAAGGTCACAGGTTCGATCAATAATACTTCTATAATCATCACACACTTTTGTAAGCTTAACGCTTAGGAAAGTGAACAAAAGTAGTGTTACTAGTGTTGTTTAAGTGTTATGTTATATTACATCTACACGCTTTTCGCCTTCAAAAAAAGAAAGAGACAGAATAACAACAATATTTCAAACAAAATAATGATACTCCGAACCGGGGTTTACGAACACGAATGTTCGGTCCAAATATTGGACCGATTATTGGTTTCATTTTCATACAATTTATAAGAGTTGAATTATGTAAATTCACACATTTCTTTTTTATTTTGTCAATAACTTAGCTTTTTTTACATAACTTTTTATTATTAACACAAATTAATAAATTATTGTTAGATAAGGTAGTGTTTGTGTTTTACAAACACTGTGTACGGTTCTTAGCATAAAGTCTATATAAATAGCATATATTAATATTAAAAAATACTATTTAAATATTCGGCAAATTAACCGAATGTTCGAACATCAACAAATACGCCGAATATAATCAAAAATTCGAGGCATCTCTAAAACAAAACCACATAACACTTAAACACTGTCTCACACAACGCTATGCGCTTAAGAGAGAAAGAGACAAACCAACATAACACTTAGACACTCTGACACAAACAAACCTATCGCTGTCTCGCTCGGTGCCAGCATGACTCGCGGCGGTGCGAGCGAGACGGAGAGCGACGAGGACGCCCCGCCCGCCCCCACACCGCGCAGGAGTGCGCAGGATCTGGGCCTCCATCGCTTGGCCTTCTTGGAACAGTGAGTTTGTTAGGGATGCGTTACCGCTAATGTGTTGATACCGACATTTTGTAGAATGCCTATAATATGTATTATACTAATTGCATTATATACGAATGGGTTAATACAAATTGAGATGCGAAACAAATTAGATTAGGATGAATGTTTTAAATATAAAGTACGAAAGTTAAGCAAATATGTAATGATTATGGTTAAGTTAGATATTTTTTATATTAGTCTAGGTATTCTATAGAATACCGATATTACATACATTGCCGGTAACAAGGTAACAGATATATTTGGGGTGAATTGGAGTTATTCTGGCTTCTATATTTGTAATAAATTTTTTATATTAAATTAAGGTTTAGAATAATTAAGATTTGTTGGTTTTTAAAGGACAAAGGTGAAAAGAAATATTTTATATTAAAGGTCATTAATCATACTGAAAAATTAGTAGCGGCGTGTAGTACGAGTATATCTATAAGTGCCAAACATTGTCAACAAAAAATATTTGCTCTCTAAATAGTTAATTATTTCAACATGACCACTACTTTACTACAAGTATAGAAGGCTTGAGACTCTGAAACGATATTGTTAATCAGAATACAAACTAGAATCGTTTGTTAAGTCCAGAATTTAACTGAATTTCGTCAAGGATTCTTGACATTGAAATATAAAAGTATTAAAAAAAAAGAATATGCTTACAATTAAAGGCTAAAGCAGTAAAAGTCAGTCTAGATACACTATTAAAGGTAAGGTGTGTAAGTGAATATTTATTTACCTTACGCATTTTTATACAATATTCATAATAATATAAATAATTTTATCAACAAAATATTTTCAATATAAAATATTATATTTTTTACTTAATAAAATATTTGTTTGCGCATGTTTTAAGCACTACGCTTTGCTTGATGTTTGTTTAGATTTCATGAGTTTTTAATGTTGCATGTGTCATACAAAAAGACACTTCATTGCATCGCAATAACGTTGATTTTTTTTAAAACAGGGTGGCGTATGATCATCATGCTGAGAAAAGACGAAAACGGGGCAGTTTGTTCTTCAGAAAAAAGAAAGTATGTTAGCTTATTATTCTATACTAAATTCTTAGGTTTTACAGATTAGTATACATTGCAGTTTTTGGATTTTTTCTCAGAAATGAGATATTTTCCCGCGGTAAAAAGTATCCTATATGTTGACCCGGATAACCAGCTATCATCATACCAAATTTCATCAAAATATATCCTTCCAGTAGTTTTTCTGTGATGCGGTAACAGACAGACAGACAGACAAAAATTCTAAAAACTATAGATTCGGCCTCTGTATCGATAATAATGTCTGTTTCAATAAGATTTTCAAAAAAATATTTAATGTACAGATTCGGATTAGTTACGATTTTATTATATGTATAGATTTATGTATTTATAGTTAAAAATAGTTCTATAATTAACTTGGGACTTATCCTCGCTTCGCTTTAGTGTCACCAGTTGGCATTTGTATTTATAATATTATGTTTCTTTTAGCAAATATTATCATTGACAGTAGCGTACTCCAGATGATAATCTATGTGTCGATTAAATACTTAATCGAAATCCAGTCATTTGAGCGTGAAGGAGCATCGATCAAAAAATTACTAGATACACAAATTCATTTAAAAGTTCTCTTAAAACTCACTAATTGTGGTTAGGTAATTATTCCAGTTGAAATAAATGTACAGTTATATAACCTCAAGGTAAATTTCTAAGAAATTAAGTAAAATTCTAAGAAATCTATTGTTAACTGACACGCCGGTGTGTCCGCGGTCGTGGAGGGATTAAAAGCAATACTTAAAGGTGTTTTCACAAAAAAATAAAATAAAAGCGCGCTCAAATGTTAAAATGAGCGCTCATTCGGTGAGGACATTTTTGTCGCTTATAATGTATCTAGTACTTTTTTGATCGATGTGAAGTAAAATAAAAATGTGTGATTTTTAATCCATTCTTTTTTACTTCTTTATACTGTTAAGGCTCACTCACATAGTAAAATTCGGTTGTGGATCCGTAAACGAAAACTAGTTTTAAATAACTTGGTTACATATTATTTACATATTATCATTACAGGACAAATCTCGTAAAGGCTCGCACACGTGGCAGGCGGCGGTGGCGGGCGGGCACTGCGACTGGTGCGCGCGCGAGCTGGCCGACCAGCCCGCCTTGTATTGCGAGAGTGAGTATAAATAAATAATAGTAAATAAATATGTTGGGACATTAGCACACAGCACCATCTAGTTCCATGGTAAGCTACGAGGCTTGTGTTATGGATACCAGATAGTTGATACACTACACATACATAACTTTAAATACATACATATTATAAATATAAACATCCATAACTGGAGTACAAACATCCGTGCTCATTACAAAAACGAATGCCTTCGGCAGGACTCGAACCCGCGACCCCTGGCACAGCAAGTAGGGGTCACTACACACTGAGCCAAACGTGTCGTCGAATCCTGCTCGTACTGATATCACAGACACTACTAATCCATACAGCGGCCTAATGAAGGCGAGACAACGTGCTCCCGACTTCCATACAAATTTTTATATCACAGACGGCAGACGGCTGTAAGGTTGACCGGTATACTGTAACTTGCCACTCATTATTAATATTCCTTAACAGCGTTTGCATTTGGAAATATTTTCGTTGAATTTAAACGCTTAATGTATTTTTTTTTATATTAAGTCGATAGTATACTTTATTTACGTGTAGAGTCTTTAATTATCGAAGCGAGAATATAAAAATATACGGTAAAAAAGCAACGTGACATATTTAGTCAAATATACGAACCATTTCACGTGACTCAATTTTCTTTTTAATTATCGCATTTCGGAGGCCCACGAGTCTCTGTGTTATTGCAGACTTTTTTGCTATATTATGTTTAATAGTTATTTTTATTGCCTTGATTTCGACGTTTCAGTTTTATATTGCATATAGAATAGTAACATTGTCAAACATTTGCAAATAATAAAGTTATAAATAATACATATAGCTGCTTAAAAATGAAAATAGCTTATCTACATAAGTAAGTAAATCTAATATTTTCCAGATTGTACCATGACAGTACATCAAAACGTGTGCAAAGACTACATAGTGGAGTGCAATAAACCTAAATCTTCAAAGGTAATGTTTATTTTTAGTATTATTTTATATTAAATTTGATGGTTTTATGCGAAATGTGATTATTATCATTTTAAAGCTTTAAAAGTTCTCATTACAGTCTTCAGTGGGGAAATCGTTGAGTGCAAGTAGCGGGAAGAGTAGCAAGCGAAGTTCAGTGTCCGGACAATCTCAAAGCACCAATAGGTAAGTCAACCATTCTAAATAGCATAGCCGTAATTAATATGTAAATAATAAGAATAAAAATATAAATAAAGAATATAATAGCAGCGTATAATCGTAAACTTTAAGTATAATTTGTATGGCATATGTTTTGCTGCTTTATTTTTTCATTGCAACGATCCTGAAGGCACGGGACGAGGACGCCATTTTGCTCTGTATGATGCATTTTCGAATTTATTTGCGTACGATAATGTGTTTAAATCGATTGGATCGAACTTCCGATACGTTTTAATGGAGGGCCCTAAATTTTGGTTCACGTTCACGGTTTGATTATAAGAAGATACACAAGTATGAGACACGTTTTTTTTATTATTACCACTATGTATCTGACACTCAATGTTCTTCCTTGCTATTGTATATTTGCTTTGTGGTTGCTGGTTTGGTTTTGTTTTGTCCGTTCGTTTGATTTAGCGTTTTTTTTTGGTTGGTTTTCGGTTTCTTTTCTCGTGTTTTATTTTTTAAGCTATTTACTTTTTCTATTTTTTAGATTTGTTTGGGGGAAATAATGTCTTCTTATAACAAAATTAACAAAATTGGATATTTGGATGGACTGAGGCTTATAAATTTAATTGGTACTAATATATGTTTAGTACATCTCAAGCAAAATAAAAACGATTATTTGGTACATTCAGTTTAATTAGAAATACGCCTTACTTTCTCGTTAAATTACTTAAATGATTCTTATGAACCTTCACAATATTACTCGAGTATTAACTCGAATAAGACAAAATATATTAAATTAAACTCCTACATTGCCTCAATTGATCCGTCCATTCGTATAATCGGGTGCATTCGATTAAACAATACAAGGGGTGATTGGTGATATTGGTGTTGGTAGCAAGAAGCAGTCGACCGGGTGCTACTCGCCGTGGCGGCGCGTCGCGACCAAGCTCGGCGTGCAGTAAGTGCGCATACGGTCACCGTTGTTTTGACGTGTTTTCATCGCGGTTGGGTTATGTTTTTTTTTTAATTTTAATTTGGGGCGGTTTGGGTTAAGGTGGTAGGGATTTGGGGTTTGGGTGTTCGATTTTTGAAATTTAATTTTGAATTTGTAAATTTAGTAACGCAGTATAAAAATCCATACAGATGATCGCCTTTGATTTTATTGGAAATGCAGTGGTTTAAAATTATAATTGTAATTACTAACGGTTGCGAAGTTACAGTTGTCGTCAACCCTAAAGCTGTTTCCCGAGTGTCATATAAAAATATGTATAAACAGTCGGGGGCGATTCTACTGCTAGCCCCACTACGTTTCCTTCTCGAAACGCCTTCGTTAGACGACTGTATGGATTAGTAGACTGTGGTAGTACTAAATTGAAATAAGTATAATTATTGTCAATTTGACATTACATAATTAACTTTAGTGTGTTCCGATGCTATGTATAAACCGCGATAAAAATTCGTTAAGATAACGCTATCTCTTTCTAATTTTCCCATCGCACGTACCATCGTCTCGTTCTTTCTCTTCGTCATTCCGACTCGTTGTTTCTGATAGGTTGAGATTGTTTTGTTTATTTCTTGTTAGTTTTGTTTTGTTGAAGGTTATTTAAATTAGAAGCATTTTTAATATTCAACACAATATACTAAGTCTTTACAATACTGTAAATGTCATAAAATAAAATATATTTTTTTATAAATAAATAATTTTGAAAATAACAGACTTTAATATATATTGAAAAGTAGTAGTATTAAGAGTGCTTCTGAATTGAACATATTACATAGCAGTACGTGGTCGTCATCACACATACAGATTTCTAGCTGATTCTTGAATCATTCACAACGCCTTACTTGTGTATCTTTCTGTCTATTTGGAGGTAGTTTGATATTTCTCTTGACGATATTGTTGTTGTAGACGTGATCGAGTTATTGTTATATTTTTTTTAAATACTTTTCTTTGTTTTATCTGTTGAATTGACAGTATGCAATTTGAATGTCACGTCTAATTGAAACAAATGTACACAATTTTGAGTCTTAGTATGGTAGTTCTGTTGAAATTGTTATATGTTCGCAATAAGTTATATTTGTCAAATATATGTTACAATGCACATTATTATTTGAGAAGCTATATGCGTGTAATATGATAATAAAAATATCTTTCAATATGAGAATATTATGTTAAAATTAATGTTTATCAATAATATTCTTAATATTTTTTAAGTTTTTATTTTTCAGCCAGCACTTTTGTGTATTTTTTTTATCAACTGTTATTTTGTATTGGTTTTTACATCATTATATTTCAAAATTTGCATGACCGTTTTTTATAGTAAAATGTGAGCGTCTCTATGAAAGCTTCTTTTTATTATTTAGGCTTCGCTAATTTCGATAATTGAAGCTTACGAAAGGTAACTTAATAATAAATTTGTCAAAATCTAAAATAATTCCGATATTTGACCTTATCCCGTATGAATATTGTCATGAACATTGAATTTTGGCCCTTGTATTGTACTCCCACTAAAATTATAATGTTGCCAGGACAGAAAAAAATGTATGTTTCAACGCCAATATATTGTACATGTATTTATGATATTTTACATATTATATTGTTCTTCTGTGGTCTCAAACAGGAGTATACAAGATATTTATAAAATAGTATTGTTAATTTAACATTTATATTTTTGTAGCACGAGCCATATTTATAACGACGATAAAGACGGATCAGATCACAAGCATGATCAGAGCAAGTAAGTTTTGTTTAAAAATAATTCAATATTTTTCTACTTATATTTGTTCTGTAGTTATAAATCGAGTTAATAATAAGCACATTAAATCATTACGTATCTTCGTAATCATCATAGCTTTACTGATATTAAAAAAATATTTATAAAATAAAATATGTATGTTCAAAAGTATTCTATGCAAATATATTCAGAAATCAATATACTACTAAATCTATACGAAATATAAAATTATTTAAACATCGAGGTTTATGTATATAAAATAATAATGTTACAATATAGCAGCAAAAAGAAATTTAAAATAATAAATAACATTAAGCGCGTCTTCACAAGGCTAGGTGCCCAGAACACTGGCAACATTATTTCTTTCAATTGCAATACTCATACGTTGAGAAAAATAATTGCCACACCTGGGGTCACCAGCTGTGTCATTTACCCTTATACTGCTTTGGTGGGCTAGTATATAAGGCCCCGAATCCGGAGCGTTCGACTCCCGGGTCGGGCCAAATTTGGTTATTGAGCATTTCTGTTAAAAAGTCTCGGTAACATACCTAAGTTGAGTGAGGGTGAAAGAAATAGGGAGTGCTCGCTGTGTCTGCGTATATGTATAATGTATCCTGCGCAGTTGGCTAGCCTTAATGAGATTGGCCGCTGTTGCCGAAAACTGTCCGGAGTACATCAATATCATCATCATAGTGGCGCATTGTGATGTAAAATATTATATACATAAAAACTAAAAAAAAAACGACTTCCAGGCACTAAATTGTAAAAAATAACTAAACGGGGGTTTTCATTTAGAATATACTTAATCAGATATTTTCGAAGTCGATTAAGCGATTTATTTAAAAACATAATTTATTGTTGATTTTTAAAAAACCACTCGACTGATTTCGATAAAATTTAAATGGGACCACCTTGGAAGTAAAAAACTTCGAAACCCTTCGAAATAAAAAAATCCAAATCGGTTCTGGCATCTTCGAGTAATCGGTGAACATACATAAAAAAAACAAAGATGCCCACGAATTGAGAACTTCCTCCTTTTTGGAAGTCGGTTAAATATAACTAACACACACTCTCCAGTGCGTCGGACGACGCGGCGGGCGCGGAGTGGCCAGAAGTATACATCACACCGGACCAGCTCGGCGAGGAAGCAATACTCTTGGGCCTGGGAGCGTGTGAGCCCGACACGTGGGCTGCTGGTGCACCTAAAGGACTTGCTAAGTGAGTTTAAATAGGATTATGTATAATTGCGAGTTTGTATGTGCGTGTATGTTTGTTACGTTATAACAAACAAAGAAGCTGGACGGATTTTGATGAAATTTTGCCAGATTATGATCTAGAGTAACATATGGGCTGCTTGGCACATAACGACGCACCCGAACGACGCGACTAAATCGCTAGTATAGTTATATAGTTATATTTGTTTGAAAATAAAAATGTGTTTTTTTTATGTCCGGCTCGAAGGACTTTAAAATAATTATTTCAAAATTATTTTAAAACTAACTAATATTTAATTTTAAGATTTGAATTTTATAAGTTGTGAAAAGTTTGTGTATAAGTAGTAAATAAATATTTTTCAACTTTCAGATCAATTGGCGACAGAGAAACAAAACGGCAAGAACACATCTATGAACTTATTTTGACGGAGAAACATCATTGTCTTACAATACGACTTATGCAGAAGGTATTTTAAATCAGTTTTTAATATTATGTTTGAATACACATGTATTTATTTATACTCATTAGTTTATGAGTAATAATATAACCGCAGAACTATTATAACAGTGAAAGTTTATGTTTTTGTTACTTTTTCATGTTAAAACGGCTGGACGGATTTGAATGAAGTTTCGTTTACAGATAGGTTATTATTTGGAGTAACACAGTGACATTTAAATAAATTTTATTTAAATGTCACTGTGTATAAAATTTTATATGTAGTTTTGATTCCTGATATTCGAATGCACAGCGATCACACGACAGCAATCATGGTCACATTAGAAACTTAGGTTTTTGAAGCCTCAAAGTTTAAGTTATAATATTTAATAGCTTTATGTTAAATAGCGTGTATTTACAGAATATACATAAATTACCAAAAAAAAGAGTAATGTAAATGTAAATAATAAACTAACTCTAATATTAAACAATTTTAAATTATTTAATTTGCTATTTAATAAAATGAAAATACAAAAAAAATCCCGTTCCCCAGATGTTCTCGGACGGCATGGCGCGTTTAGCGGTTGTGTCGGAGGCGCAGGTGGCGCGCATGTTCCCGCGCCTCGACGAGCTGTGGGCGCTGCACGCCGCGCTGCTGGCCCGCCTGCGCGCCCGCCAGCGCGCCGCGCCGCGCGTAGCCTCCGTCGCCGACATACTGGCCGACACCTTCGCGCCGCCCGCACACCAGCGGCTGAAGGCAGCTTACGGTGAGTGCTTCTCGCTCGCACGTACGCGACCGCGCTCTCGCCGTCCTTGTCTCGTACGCCGCGCGTCTCCACCGTCGCCGTCATACTGGCCGACACATTCGCGCCGCCCGCCCTCCACCGGCTGAAGGCTGCTTACTGTGAGTGCTCCAGGCTCCTCCCTCTCGCTCACACGTACACTCCTGCGCTCTCGCCGTCCTTGTCTTGCACACCGCGCGTCCCCACCGCGCCATTGTCTGAAGACCACATACGATGAGTGTCCATCTCGCTCATACACATGCCCCTGATTATCCCCGTCCTTGTCTCGCCCGCCTATGTGTGTGCGTCCTCAATTGTTACTAAATTGTGTATGACGTCATCACGTGTAAACATAGAGTCTATTAATTTCTTATTCAAATTAGTTACATTCTAATATTATAAGCGTTCACACAAAAATTCGCATAATTTGTAATTGTAGATAGCTGTCATTTCATGAGAATATTAATGAAGACATTGTCGAAGTAATCTGTGTTAAACTGGCACGTTTTGAAGCCTTTAAAAAGAGAATTGAATTAAGAATATTATATTTTCTGTTAACTTTTTTAGTATATTTCGTCTATTAATCTTGAAAGGTGTATAATATAATGTTTATTCACAACAGGTGAATTCTGTGCGCGTCATCGTGACGCAGTGGAAGTGTTCAAGGAGTGCTGCGCGCGTGAGCCGCGGCTGGCGAGGTTCATACGGAAATGTCAACAGAACCCTCTGTTAAGGAAGAAGGTAAAAATATTATTATTTGAAATGTTTTTAAATATTATCATAAAGAATGTATGTTATTAAGTTTACCTAAATTTTGCGTTTATTAGTTGACTAAATTTAAAAAGATATGGCTTTTATACAAAGAAATTGTGCTAGGTTTATCGTTATATAAAAATAACGGATTTTAAACCAATAACTGTTACAGTTCCATAGCCAAAAGGCATAATCGGAACTTTTACACTTTTACATATCTGCCGTGTTTTCTGTATTTTAAATAATAAAATTATAATTGTAATGAAATAATCTCAATGTTTTATCAAAACAGGGTGTCCCCGAATGCGTGCTATTTGTAGCGCAGCGGTTAACCAAGTATCCGTTGCTACTCGAGCCGTTGCTGAAGACGGCCGGCGACGACGTCGGTGAGAGGGAGTTGTTGCAGAAGGCCTTGTGTGGAGTCAAGGTGATATCCATACAAATTTTAAAAAGAGTTAAAGTTTGTGACATTTAACTAAGGGGGTAATTTCTAAATCTACTGAACCGATTTTGATGAAATTTCGTAAGAAGATAATTTGAGACCCTGGGAAGGACATAGGATACTTTTTATCCCGGAAATGATCTTTTAAGGGGGTGAAAGTTTTTATTGAGAAGCAAGCTAGGGACGAGCCCGAGTCGCTAGTTATAAGATAAATGTCGTTAATATATAGTTATATAGATGTATCTAAAAATATTTCCGCAATATTTTGACATATTCTAGAAAAAAATCGCTAAATACGCTGTATCTAAAAAAAAATATGCGACTTTTGAATAAGTAAGACTATGTTTTTAGGATTTTCTCGTGGATTTATATTGATTTATGGCCATGATTGCTGTCTGGCATACTTTAAAGCCATTAACAAGAAAACTGCTGTAAAGCATTCGAAACGTCGTGAACAAAAAATCATAATAAATCCCAAGACAAAAACCGAAAAGATAGATTCGACAGTTTTAATTAAAATATGTAAATGTCTATATGGATACGATGTATACATAATATAATTAAAACATGAATAATTTATTCAAATATTGTTATAAAACGATTGGGATTATGTAGCATTAAATCCCCGTTCATCATAATTAAGCAATAACGTGACAAACACTGGACGAATTTAATTTTAAAGGACTAAACTGCTGATCAAAAATCATTTATTTTTTTATTTTTTAGGAGATTCTAGTAGACGTAGATAATCAAGTGGCAGCTAAAGAGCGGGAGGACCGAAAGTTGGAAATATACCATCGCATCGACGCCAAGTCCTTCGCCAACTTCCGAGGGCGGAAGTTCAAGAAGAGTGACATTTTACAAGGCAATAGGAGTTTAAAGTAAGTTCTTATATTTTATACTTTGGTATTGAATATGTATATAACTAAATGAATTTACTTATAATACAAAACCAAATCAACCCCTCGGGAACCGTATATTTTTCCAGGGTTTAAATTAGCCTATGTGTTATTCCAGACTATAATCTATCTCTGGGCCACATTTCATCCAGATCCGTTCAGTCGTTCTGGTGTGAAAGAGTAACAAACATCCATACTCACAAACTTTCACATTTGTAATATTTATACAGATTAATGGTACATAATAGTTGCTATTCTATGAAATATGAATCTTGCATTTTTATATATTATTGGTATCTAAGTTATATCTATGAGAGAGTCCATATTTTTATTATTAATTTATGTAAAAAAGTAACCTCTACCAAAGGAGATCGACAGAATGTGTTACTATGGTTTTGGTTCCTTTTTGAAGTCATGCGTGGCACAATGAAAATACTTGCATATCATAGATTGTTAATTATGTGTCCTGCAATCTTAATCTGCAAATTCTTTTTTATGTTTCATTCTGATTTTGAAAAAAAATACATTTAAATAGTAGTATTTGACAGATATAAAGATTGACACAGATGACAGTTTTTCAGTTGACAGTTCTGCTTAATATATTATTGAGGCGTACGCGTATTTTCTCCATTCTACGCGACATTGGCGACGTAAATTGTGCCCAACTGGCACTCCTAGAAGCCACTAAACAAAAGAATTGAATTGAGTTGTACGCATTGATATACAAAATCGTCTGCATTTATTTAAATTATTACACAACAGGTTCGAAGGTGTAGCAACGCTGATGCAGGGACGCAGCAAGATGCAGACGCTGCTTGTGATCGTGCTGACGGACGTGCTGTTCTTTTTGCACGATAATAATAATAAATACACCTTCTTCACACCTGATAATAAGGTTAGTGATCAATTATTATAACAATTTTTGGAATCACAAGTATCCTAACAATACATTATTTATTTTATTTTGTACGGATGATAAAAATAATTACTAGAATACCAAAGTATAAAAATCCATAAAGTAAGCGATTGTTTATTGATTGTTACGGATGTGATGTCAAATGCAAATAGTTGTCAAAAAAGTAATTTTAATGGCAAACGGGTTCGAAGTTAAAGAAGTGTAGTGCCATCTGGTATAGTCCTGTCGAAACGCCTTTGTTAACGATTGTATGTATGGATTAGTAGACTGCAAAGTTTGTTTTTATCCCAATTAAGACCGGTTTATAATTTTACAAGCTTTTATTTAACTTGCAATGTTTGTCTGTTCAGGTTAAATCTTACAAATGAATTTTAAAGTAGTTATCCTGAACCGATTGAACTGAAATTATTGAACTTTTAAAATGACAATGCATGGTTAGTGTCGTCATTCTAAATTCTATATGGCGGACTCCCAAAGATAGCGGATTATTTTTATTATGCACAATGTTTTGGAAATTAAATAAAAAGCCTGAGAAGAATACGAATACAATATAAAATTAAAAACCATTAATTTTAAATATTATATTCTTGTTTTTCTATGCAGGTGAATTTCGCGATAATCCTTTATTTCATACTAGTGGCTCACCCTCGGTTCGCTCGGGTTCGCCTCTCGAAAAACAAAAACAAATCAATCCCTCGGGAACCGTATATTTTCCTGGGATAAAAAGTAGCATATATGCTATTCCATACTATAATCTATCTCTATGCCAAATTTCATCCCGATCCGTTAAGCCGTTCTGGCGAAAAAGAGTAACAAACACCCATATTCACAAACTTTCACATTTATAATATTAGTACAGATAAATTGTGTAACGTAATAAATTGACGAGACTGATTTAATTTAACGTTTATTTTCTACTTTTTAGAGCTTGTTTTAAATAATATTTTTTAATATTTTTCATGTTGTTTTGATCCAGACAGGCGTAGTGTCGCTGTGGAAGCTACTAGTGCGGGAGAAGGCAGGCGCGGAGGGCCGCGGCCTCTACCTCATATGCAACGGCCCGCCCGAGCCGGAGATGTTCGAGCTGCGAGTGCACCGCCCCAAGGATATCGCTGGCTGGATACATGCTATTAGGTAATGATGTTTACCAGACCAGGTCGTCATCTATACGATTCTAGATGATGATATGTATCTATTCCATTTTCAAAAGGTCATAATCACAATACAGGTATCACGATGTTTTCCTTCACCGTAAGACAAATGGTAATCTTGTTGGAAATGATTCACACATAAAAATATCAGAGGTGCGAGACCCGGGATTTGAACCCGCTTCACACGGTTTCTCAAGCGACCGCGTTATCACTAGGGTACCACTGCCTTTCACATTCACGAATTATTGCATTTATAATATTTTCTTAGATTTACGCGAATATTTGATATTTAAAACAAAATATCTCTTTTCGGATTTTTGGATTTCTAGAAAAACAATCACAAACCTATTCCTCGGGAACTTTATATTTTTCCGGAATAAAAAAATAGCCTTGTTTTTCCAGACTATAATCTATCTCTGTACGAAGTTTCATCTAGATCCGTTCAGCTGTTCTGGCGCGAAAGAGTAACAAACATCTATACATGAAATACAAATCTTCGAATTTCTCGGCATTTCTGTACTATAATATGCATGCATTATACATATAAACCTTCCTCTTGAATCAATCTATCTATTAAAAAAATCGCATCAAAATCCGTTGCGTAGTTTTAAAAATGTAAGCATACATAGGGACCGACAGAAGCAGAAGGGGAAGAAGAGAAGCGACTTCGTTTTATACTTTGTTATATAATTGAAACAGAGGCGCAGTGCAAAGTTGCCCGGAGGAGCGCGAGGAGGCGGAGGCGGGCGCGGCCGCCACGTCGGCGGAGGAACGCCAGCGGCAGCTGGAGGCGAGGCACGAGAATATAAGACTGATTACTGGTTTGTGTTGCACATGTATACCTACTGTTAGTAATATATTTTAATAAGACTACAGAGATTCAGCAATTCCTCTTCGATCACTTAACGGAATGCCTTACAAAATGGCAATTATAACTATTTAAACATTATTTTCCCACCATTGGGTGTAACGTAGCGACATCTGTCTAACATTACCCAACGGTGAATGATAATACTTTAAAAAAATTACTATTACAAATACATCTAACCGATATCGTTATTAATATTATAAAATTGTAAATAATAAATTATAAATAATCAATATCAAATTAATGTAATAAAATATAAAATTATATTTTGTTAGTTATAATTAACTTATATTAAATATAAGATAATTATAACTAACAAAATATGAAAAATCAATATGATCTATAAATAATGAACAATAATATCAGTTGAGATGCTATAATTAACAAGAATCCATTGAGCAACTATAACTAACAATACATACGACACTAGCGACGCACCCTTATGTACATCCCTAAATGTCTGTTGTATTTATTTATCTAATCAATAAAAATCTCGTGTCATGGTGTTTGTGGTCACGTTCCTCCGAGACTCGACCGATTTCAATGACTTTTTTTTGTATATTTGGTAGGTATGAGTATAGGTAAAGTTATTTTCACACTTCTACCAAATTTTTATTGCGATTTTAGTATTATTATATTAACAATATTATACATATAGCGGCGAAACGAGGGTGAGACTCTGTATACTTAAAGCCAAAGAGTTTTGTTTGTGGATTGAACACGGGCGTAGCTGCGGGTTCTGCTAGTGTGTGTGTATATATATATAAATTAATTTATAGTCTATGTGTACAATTTCATTTAAACTCGTCCAGCCGTTTCAGCGTTAAGGAGTAACAGACATACATACACATACACATTTTCACATTTATAATAGTAGGTAGATCAGTGAGTGTAATTATATATTCAACACGCTTATCTTAGGAACTTTATAGCTTAATATTTTATTTTTCTGAATTGAAAAAAAACTCATTTACCTAACTTGTTGCGGTTTACAATAGTTAAAAAATGTATTGAAGTAAAATTTGATTCATTTTTATCTCAGACGAAACACCGTGGTGGCATATCGAAGGTGACATGAATCAATAAACCCTTTATTTTTGCATGCCATTATGTTTGTCTTAAATGTTATTAATATCTTTGCATTATTCTATTTTACTTGTTGTCGAGTTAGGTTATTCTATGTGATATTTATGGATATTATTTGAAACGTGAAATAGATATTCCTAGTTATTTTTTTTATATGTGACATTGTTAGAAATATCAAGTGTGTTATTTATATAAAAATATTGGACTAAGATCCCGCTGCAAGATTGCTACGTTCATAGCATATTTAATTAAAATATTTTTTTTATATACAATAATAAAAGGGACCAATTAGCTTTAATTTGATATATAAATGATGAATATACGCCATGAACGTATAAATGTAACAAAAAAATCTTTAATGACTCGCAACCTCTTTTGCGGCCACTTTTACATAGGTAGAGGTATTTTATCATGCACAGAAAAACATTAGCTTTAATTTGATACATAAATGATGATGATGTTTACACCTGGCTGCGAAAAGGTTGCGGCCAAGTGCGCAACGGCAGGTATCAGTTTTCAAGATCTCTACGTATATTTCTTTGAAGTGGAGTATAATTCATTTTAATAACAAATGCATCGTTTTTGTTCCAAAAAATCAATTATTATTTATTTAATTAAACATACTAGCGGTCACATTTTAATAGGCACCCCGGTCGGAACATATTGTCGCTTTTATTATTGTATATAAAAATTGATTTTGATTAAATATGCTATGAACGTAGCAATCTTGCAGCCGGATCTCGATCCATATATATTGGTCTTGTTATATTATCTCATTTACAAAAAAATATCTTTTGTATTTTCCATTCTTGTTGTTTGTTTACTGATGCATGAAGTACTAGAATTTTTCGCTACTACGAACTGTACTATCTCTGTTCAATACTGTTTACGGTCGTTTAATTTAATTTTTTAATGTTAGAAATAAATTAATTTATTATTTAATTTAATCTTTGTATTGCCTCCATGAGAATTAAATACTTTTAGAGGCTAAATCATTCCTATTATTATTTAATTACAGAGGCTTTAAGAGCTAAGGACAGAGAGCATGCTCAATTGTTAGAAGAGAAAATGGCGTTACACATGAAGATGGTCGGTCACACTGGCACCTCCACACTGGATGTACCTACTACCGGTAAATATGATTTCACTACACTTCTGTTTCACTCAAACTTGTATTTAGCGTTTCTTTATAACAGACTTATGTATGAAGTACCCACGTTAAATTTATGGTGTAATAAATAATATTGTCCTCTTGAGCGCTTCCCTCGATTACTGATAATGTTTTTAAACATGTTGAGTTGTTCAACGAGTTTGCCTTTACTTAGAATATATTTTATACATTTTTGTACTAATTTTAAACATTTATTTAAGTTAGCAGTTAGCTTTTTATATTATAATTGGCTGTCTATTTAAATAATATGAAAAATATTTAAAATTATGTATGTTTAAGGCATATCATCGAGCACGTTCCCGGGCGGGCTGGTGTTCCCGGACTACGTGCGGCTGGCGGCGCCGTCGCCCGACACGCACGCGCTGTGGCACGAGGTCTGCAAAGTTGTGAAGGTATATCTGTTTGTGGTCACCATTTGTTTGTTACAGTGCTTTTACACAACACAATCATCTATACTAATACTATAAAGGGGTAAAGTTTGTGAGTTTGGACGGGGTAATCTCTAGATCTACTGAATCGATTTAGATTAAATTTTGTAAGAAGGTAGTTTAAGACCCTGTGAAGGACATAGGATACTTTTTATTCCGGATATCTTCCCTTAAGGGGTAAAAATGGGGATGAACGTTTGTACTGGGAAGCAAGCTAGCAATCCTTTGAATCTATTTAAATAAAAAAGAATCACCGAAATGTATGTACGCGCATAACTGCCGATCGACTGCACCAAATTGGATAATAATTTTTTTTGCGTTTGTTATTGTATAGAAAAAAGACAAGACAAGCTTTCTATAGAAAAAAAAAGATTAAAAAATTTTTTCTACTAAAATATGTTTCTTTTTTAAATCAGATATGAAAAGTGAATGAGTGAAATAGTTTTTATCCCGGAAATCATCCCTTAAGGGGTGAGAATGAGGATGAAAGTTTGTATGGGGAAGCAAGTCAGGGACGAATCCGAGCGAAGCGAGGATGAATCGCTAGTATTATAATATAGTTTGTATTCCTAGACTGTTGGAAAAAATGGAGCAAATAGGTATCCGTGGAACAGTGCTGCAACTATTCACTGATTATTTGAGAAATCGTTCTCAGAGGGTTACTATAAATGGTTCTTATAGCAGTGACAATGGTATCAACTACGGAGTCCCCCAGGGAAGTGTCTTGGGGCCAACACTTTTCTTAATTTACATAAATAATTTATGCAATTTGCGGTTAATAAATTGCAAAATATTTACATTTGCAGATGATACTGCTCTTGTTTTTCTTGGAGAAAATTGGGAAATCGCGAAAATGCATGCAGAAAATGGATTAAACATCATTTTTAATTGGCTTAATGATAATTTATTGACACTTAATACAGTTAAAACAAAATATTTACTTTTTACTAACTCAGAACGTAGTTTACCATCAAGTTTCAACATGCAAATTCACACCAATTCATGTCTTTACGAAACTGAAAGGAAGATCCATTGCGAATGTGATACTTTAGAAAGAACCCAAACTATAAAATATCTAGGAGTACTTTTAGATGAAAAATTATCTTGGCGTCCTCATATTAGCCATCTTATAGAAAAAACAAGAAAACTTATATACATATTTAAGAAGTTAAGACATACTGCTGATCCTGATTTGCTTAAGACTATCTATCTTGCACTTTCCCAGTCCATCCTAAATTACTGCATTACATCATGGGGTGGAGCACGGAAAACGTATATGATAAAACTTGAGAGAGCTCAGAGGTCCCTGCTAAAAGTGATAAAATTTAAACCTTATAGATATCCTACATCTAATTTATACGCAGAATGTGGCGTGCTAACAGTTCGACAATTATTCATTGTTAATTTAATACTATCTCAACATGAGAAATCACCATATAATTATAACAATGCAAGTAGACGTCAAAACAGGGTCTGTGCAACGTCCAAGTTCAATACTGCTTTTATTAATAAATATCAGTGCTTTCTGGGTCCTATGCTATACAATAAAATCAACCAAATTTTAAATATCTATTCAAAAAATAAATATCAATGTAAGAAGATCTTGGTAGCCTGGTTACAAAATAAAAATTACGAAGAAACTGAGAAATTAATTGAAATAATAAAATAAGTGCTTTTTTTCTGTTATATTACCGAGTCTTTAAAAATTCCTACAAAATAGTAAAAACTTTCATATTAATAATGACCTTGATCATAATAGTCAAAAATAATAAATGATTGTTAACAAAATTTAAAACAAAGAATTAAATTTAAACTAGTTTGCTAAATTACATACACGAGTACATACCTAAATTTATACAAATAAACAACTATAAAGATATAATATATAGGTACCTAAATACAGATAACTACAAATAATAAAAATATGCCTAAATATTTATACATATACAACTATAAATATTGTAAAATATACCTAAATATTTCCAAATAAACAACCATAAATGATATAAATTATACAAATTTATTATTCAAATTATTTACAAATGAACATCTACAAATAATATAAAACTGGTTCAAAATATATCATATTAAAAAAATAAAATATCTACAGAAAAAGTTAAAAAAAAAAAATCTTACGTAAAATAATTAAACAATATACATATTTTTCTTAATGCTTAAACTCATAGCTTTAGTGGTCTAACTTCAATAATAACTAAAAATTACACAATGACGGTAGATGTTTTTAGTAAATTAAATAAGTACCTACGCTGATGTATCTCGAAATTGTTCACATTGTATATCATATATATTTTTAGTATTATGTTACATTTAACTTATTAGCAATAAACAAATTGTGTAATAGGAAGAGGCTAGCGTCTGAGATACAGGCTCGGCCTAGTTCAGACGTTAGTATACCTAAACAAAGATTGTGCTAATTATATAGTTTAAAAATAAATGTCTTGTAACCCTTTTGTATTTACGTCAATAAAGGTATTATTATTATTATTATTATAATATATGAGTGTGTGGTGGTCGTGTGGCAGGACGCCCTGGAGGCGTCGAGCGCGGGGTGGGCGGCGTGGGCGGGCGGCGGCGCGCTGGGCCGCAGCACCAGCTCGGCGGGCGAGCGCCACTCCGCGCACTACCAGAGCCCCGCGCTGCCGCGCCGCGCCGACACCTTCGCCGGCTTCGACGCCTCGCAGCACAGGGGTAATGCACCATTCGTTTATTTGTATACATACATACATTATAACAATTTATTACTACTATTTGCATCAGTCCAGTTAAAGTCGTTTACAAAAAAAAACTAATAACATTTAAAATATATTTATTGTTACAATTTATTTATATAAGTATGAATTTGATACCTTTTATTTTAAGCTGTATTTTAATGCTAAAACAAGTCAGTTAACTAAGACACTTAAATAACGCGGTGGACTTAATCGAATAATGGACTTATGACATTATATGGGACTTTGCCGCCTTTGTTATTAGACCCAATATATAATGTTCTTCTTTTACGCCTCGTTGCACAGAGGTATTACACCATTGGTTTACTTGTGTTCCTCACTAACGATATAGCTACTTGGTTAGGTTTTATGATAAACATTTCAAGTTCTTAGGCTGGATGCGCATTGCGAATTTTTTTGTCATTTGTGCGAAAAATCCATAGCGTAAGCTTAACATTGTTATATCGAAAAAGATTATATATACGTTAATTTGAAAATTGCTACATATTTCTTTTATAAATATGTTTAAAATATGATAAATATAAAAAAAATGTTAACATAATAGACTATTTCTCAATATGCGCACAGAGCCGACTATAATTATACATAACAAACTCATTACCCTATAATTGATTTCGTCATCTTCACTAAATTTTTATTTTTTAAGAAAATTACTGAAAATTTTCATTTAAAAATATATCATTCAGCTCAAGTCAATAAGTGTCTTAACAGATGTAAATTCTAATTTACCACTTAGATTACTTTTTAATCCCTCCACGACTGCGGACACGCTGGCGTGTCAGTTAACAATAGATTTCTTAGAAATTTAATTAATTTCATAAAAAATTACCTGGAGGTGTTAACCAAAGTTGTAATGCATGAAGACATTCGCGCGTATTTAATTATAATAATGTCATTGAGCTCAAAGTCAATTAGTGTATTAATAGATTTAAATCCTAATTTACCATTAAGGTTATTTTTTAACAAAATAACTTGTAATGTTTAAAGATATTCGGGGGTCGGGCGTGACGGTGCGCGCGGCGGCGTCCGAGGCGCCCGGCGAGGGCGAGGCGGCGGCCCTGCGGCTGCAGCACGCCGTGTACACGCTCGCCTGCATCGTGTGGCAGCAGCTCACCACCATACACAGGTTGGTTGCTATGGTTACCATCGGGTTGTTTATTCTTATTTTTTTTATTTCGTCGTTGCGGCTATCTTGGATTTTGGCTGGTGTAATGTGATCGCCGTATGTTGAACTAGAGTAAACCATTAAGTCCTGCAGCTGTGAAAAATTGCAGGATTTGCTTAGGGGTAAATTTCGTAATTTCACTCGCTTATAGAAACGACTTAAGCGGGATCAAATCTCGAATTACGCATTTCTGAAATTTTTATGTGCGAATCATTTTTAACATGATTATCACTTGTATTTCGGTGTAGGAAAACATAAGGAGGAAACCTGCATGTTTGAAAAAATCTAGCACGTTTTGGAAAGATATGTGCAGTCCGCCCGCACCTGGCCAGCGTCTTTAACGCGTTTTTCGCTTTTGCACGTTTTTAAGGGCCGTATACAAACCATACAATACAATTGTGATTCGATTCCAGCCTGGAGGCGCAGGTGTGCGCGTGGCGCTCGCACGGCGGCGGCGGCGGCGGCGCGGCGCGCGCGCACGACGCGCAGCTGGAGGAACTGCGCCACGCGCAGGCGCGCCTCACGGCCGAGCGCGCCGGCTGGGAGGCGCAGCGCGCGCGAGACCGGGACGCGCTCGAGCACGGTCAGTTGTTTTATTTTTAAGACCGAATTTCCTCCGACATGGACTTCGGAGACCTTTTTTACAATTTTTATTGGTTACAATATAATGAAAGAAATCTTAAGGTTTAGGAATGAACACGGTGAATTGTGGGGTTTAGGGAGGTTGGGGTCTGAGATTAGGAGTGGTGGTGCTTTGTTTATTTGTTTTTACCCGTCTGCAAGAAAAGGGTTATGTTTTTGCGCCTATCTTTGTTTGTTTGTTTGTAATATTCTTTATTCTCTCATATCTTCCAAAGCACTCGATTTCTTTAATTAAAGTATCGTTAGATTCGTCTCATTAGTCTTAAGTGTTCTTAGATAGGTGACATAAAAAATAAATAAATGTGGGGGCTGCTAGATTTCATTGTTTAAGGTGATTTTTTTTAATCTTCTTTTTGCAACATGGGTATCAAGTTAAAGGGCTCATAACAAAAATTCCAAAAAGGTATAATACCCCTGTATTATTAGTCTTAAACAGTTTAGGTTTTATAATGATTTAGATGAACGCCCCCAGCGGGACTCGAACCCGCGACCGCTGGCACAGCAAGTAGGGTCACTACAAACTGAGCCAAACGTGTCGTCAAATAAATAATAATAAATTAAAAATAAGAAAATGTTAATAGTCGACTGTTGTAAACAGATCGAAGACAACTGCAAGCGGCGCGGCAGGAACTGGAGGAACAACAGAAGGACGTGGAGCAACAGAGGGAGAGGTTGTATCGACGGTTAGAGAGACTCCAACAACATGGTAATTATGTTTAACGATATTAAATTCGTCTAAAGTAAGATAGAACCTTTGTGGCATTGATAAAATGGCGGCCATTTTTATTTATTTTTTCTTAATTTAGGACGCACTATGAACCAAGTGTATATGAATGAAAGATACTTATACTAATAAAAAATATTAGTAATATGGTACTAGTGTCACGTTTCCAAGATTTGTAAGGTATAGACTGGTTTATGAAAACGATGTTAATAATTAAAAATGAACTATATACTTGTAAATAAATAAATAAATAAATAAATAAATAAATAAATAAGTATATATTTGACAGTTTCTATAGTCCTCGTTTAAGCTCAAATATCTATAAATTTATTTCAAAATATTTGGGAAACGTGACATTTTAGGGCACAATATTGCTGATATTTTTTGTTTGTTTAAGGGTCCTCTATCCCTTAATACCAATTACATCGTGCGCTGCTACTTTGAAAAACAAATTAAAACGACGGGGAATTACGAATGCCAGCTTCAATGGGAAAAATGTTTGGACCACTTTGAATGACTTAAGGATCCATTTATTAAGCATATGCTATACACGTCTGTCCGTCTATCGTAACTCTAAAACATTATCTTTTAAACCATTCGAGGAATCAAAACAATTTTATATTATCATGAAATAATATTTTTTAATGTTGTCTTTTTTAATTTTTATTAGCATAAAATCAAAATTATTATAAATTCTTTACCAGGTGGGTCTCAAGAAGAAATCGCTAGTGTGGGCACTCTCTCACCGGACTCGAGCGTCAGTGATACGAATAGACGGAAAGAGCCCAAGTGGAGGAGTAAGTGTTTATGTATATTGTCATTATATTGTTTTATATGCAAATTATTTAGTTTAAAAAAAAAACAATTTTTAATTTTGTTGTCCGTTTGTTCCGGCTAATCTTCAAAACAGCTAAACCGATTTTGACGGGACTTTTACTGGCATATAGCTGATGTCATAAGGATAACTTAGGCCACTTTTATTTAAGAAAAAGGATTAGGGTTCCGCGCAACAACAACAATTAAAACCCATGAAATTGCGAATAAAATTCGCGTACATAGATAGGGGCGCACCATAGTGAAACGACGGTAATCGCTAGTCTGTATAAATATTATAAATGGGAAAGTTTGTGAGTATGTAAGGATATTTGTTGCTCTTTCACGCCAGAACTGCTAAACGGATCTGTATGAAGTTTTGTCACAGAGATAGATTATAGTCTGGAATAACACATCCGCTACTATTTATCCCGAAAAAATATACGGTACCCTAGAGATAGATTTGTTTTTCGTTAGTTGTTTATAATATTTATCCACGATCAGACAACCGCGGCTCGACGGGGTCGGAGGGGTCGTGCGCGGCGCTGCCGCCGCCGCAGCTGCTGTCCGCGCAGAACGAGACGCGCGCCACCGTGCGCGCGCCCGCCATGCAGGTACTGCACATGTTTTTGAATATTTTTTTTGTTTATTTAAACTAGAGTTTGCCGAGTTGTCGAACTTCGACCAAGATTACAATAGATTTTTCTTAGAAAGTGATAGAAAGTTTTTGCTTCACATAATAATACATAATTCTCAATTTGACCACAGACCAATAAAATAGTATATATGCGTGTGTGTGTCAAATACATGGTAGTGTGTGTAATGCTTTTTTTATGCATAATGAAAATAAATATATTAGCATTCTGCACTCCTTCTTTATATAAACTATAAGTGTGGGAAATTTCATACTCCTCCGTCCGTGCAATTTTCGTAAAAGTTTAAAAGGAGTACAAAGTTTTTGCTTCACGTATTAATATATAAATGCTCTAAAAAGAAGTAAATAAACTTTAAATTAAATCAAACCCAGCAATTTATTACATTACACAATTTATATGATATAAAAGTTTGTCGCGAGATTTACCTGTGTAGATAAACTAGAAAATAACATTATTGCGTATTAATTAAAGTAATGCTGTATATTTGTTCCAGCAAATGGTAAAACAACAGTTACCTCTCAAACTGGCGAGTGGGAAAAGCCAACAGCCACCGCCGGGATATCACCGACTACACGAGTCACCTAGCGAGGTAAAGATTAGTTATATTAGTTGTTATAAGTTCATTTTGTTTTATATTTGGTAATATGTAAATAACAATAACTTCTAATGTAGGTGGCATCTCAAGTTATAGATATGTATCTCGTGAAGATCCCAAAAAAAAATAGGGATGCAATGTTGTAGGAATTACTCTTAAGCACTATTTTGGTATTGTCTTGAACCTAATAATGTTAGCGTAATCACTAGCATGGTTGTTACATATCCGAAGATTCTAAGTTTGAGTCCCGAGTTGGGACAAGTATGTCAAGTCATTGAGATTTTCTGTCAAGAAGTTCTTAATGCCAGCATGAACTTAAAAATTTTCGCTGTTACACGTCCCATTAGTATGGATTTGTCATCGGATTTTGAGAGTGAGTGAAAGAGTAGTGATGAAGACGAACTTGGGCCTGATATTAGTGCATGAGCGTTATAGTAGCGGGGGTTGCGGGACGGCAAGAGCAAGACACTGGTTCGATGATCGGCCAGAACGATTTCGCTCATGTTACTAATCGGGTCTAATAAATCTAAATAAAAATACTTGTCGGATTAGCTCTGCCTGTAGTAATAAGCGAATTTAGTGTAGTCCAATCTTTATTTCATTTTCTCCTGGGTAGTCGGTTATCCCTGTCATGGAGTGTACAGGGAATTGTCCTCATCGTCTGTGAGATTGGCCACCATGATCGAATTCTGTCAAGAACCCTATCATTATAATTATTTTTTATCATATAAACGTACTAACTGTTACTTCTCCTAAATTATTCAAAATATGTCAGCTTAAAGAGATCTCTGAAGCAGATTAAATGGTTGTTTTACAGGAAGCGGAGTATCCAAATGTATTTTAACACAAAATTTTATTTCTATGTAAGTAATGTATTGGTGTCTCGTAGATTGTGTATAATGGATTTATTTTGCCTTATTTAACTGAGATGGCTTTGGTGTTTATATTTCTTTAAATAAAATTAAAAAATCAATTTTGATGAATTTTGAAAATATCATTATTAAGACTTTCAGACAAAAAAGAGACTTATTTTCATTTTTTTGCGTATTTTTATTTTATAAGGCTTAAATAAACTATATCAACAAAGCTGAAAGCACTTTAGGAAAACTGTTAAAACAACATCGATACGTTAAGAGAAAAACAAAAAAAAATTTTTTTATATAAATTAAAACTACGTGAAAGTCATGTATAAATTAATTACCTATATAATATGTTCAATAATAAAATATGGATATTAAATTAGAACGCTACCTCAGTTGATTTGCTGTAGTTGAAATGTAAATTATACTGTGCTTACGACAATCTTCTTCTTTATACAACCATTTTATCTGTTCAGCTTTTCGATGTATTGGCATGTTTTGTTTTTCAGTTATTGTACTACATTTGCTGTTCAATGAATATTTTATGTTTAGATATTAGTGAAGAAAGCTTCTATATTTTACAATACAATATTATAGGTATTGCACTAATAAAGGTATTAAACAAAAATCAACATGAAAAAGCGACATTTAATCTATGGTGAATATTATAATATGTATTGTGTTTAAAAAAATTCAAGCCATTCAAAATTTTACTTATAATATACGTACAAATAATAAATATATTCGATTTTTTTTCTATGAAAGCTAACATTAGTCATTCGCCGCCATTTTTATATTATTTATTCTAAAGTATCGGCGTACAATGAAACTGATATGTATGCGTAGAGAAAATTTAAAGAAATAATGACAATATTATTATCGTGTTGTAAGATGTCAGGTTTCTAAGATAATTTGAGATAAGTAACGCTTATATCAGAAGTATTGAGTCGATTTTAATGATTATCGATTTAAATGGCGATTCAAATATAAATGACGATACATTTGGCTCAGTTTGTAGTGACCCTACTTGCTGTGCCAGCGGTCGGGGGTTCGAGTCCCGCTGGGGGCATTAATTTGTGTGATGAGCACTAGTGTTTTTACTCCAGTCATAGGTGTTTATATTTATAATATGTATGTATTTAAAGTTATGAAGGTGTAGTGTATCAACTGTCTGGTATCCATAACATAAGTCACGTAGCTTACCATGGAACTATATGGTGTTTGTGTTAATGTTCCAACAAAAAATATATCCAAAAATAATTTTTAGGGCACCATTATATTGATATTTTTATTTATATAACTCTTTTTTATTTACATATCTGGTATATAAAAAAACTTCTACCATATTTTCTGTTATTTATTAATATAATTCCAGCAAACCCAAGGACTAGTGATCCATCACACACGCACAGGCAGCTCGCCCGCGCCGCTGCCCTCGCAACAGCATCTCAACAACAAGGCTACTAGGTAAATTCATATTATTTTATAAGTGTCTAGTGTGTATAGTGAATAAGTGACTAAACAATTGATACAAAATAAAAAGAAAGTTTTTAAATTACATAATATTTGATTAGGCAATTTATTTAAAAAATAATTATTATTGTTGATTTTTAAAAAAAAACCGCTCGACCGATTTCGATAAAATTTATATAGGACCACCTGGAAAGTATACCCTTCGAAAAAAATAATTTTAAATCGGTTTGTCTCCGAGTAATCGGTGAACATACAAAAAAAAAGATTCCGACGAATTGAGAACGTCCTCCTTTTTGGAAGTCGGTTAGTAAATAAAAAGTGACGTCTACAAATCTCTAAAATTGATATCTTCCAGTCAACCGATGTATGTGGATTATAGAGTAAAGGTAACGGAAAATATAGAAAAATTGCAGAAAAAATTGTAGGAAAATATGTATTTACATGTGTGTGTACATGGTACTAGCGTGTGTGTTAGTGTGCATGTGTGTGTTTGGTACTCCTTCACATTAAAACAATTATATATTCTATTTATGTATGTATTCAGTCTTTGGGCACGGGTCCCCCTTCAATACGAGAGGGATCAGACCAGACAGTCCACCACGCTGGCCAAGTGCGGGTTGGCGGACATCATCATGTCTTTCGAAAACTTGCTAGGTTCTCTCAGACATGCAGGTTTCTTCACGATATTTTCCTTTACCGTTAACACAAGTGGTAATCAAGTTGGAAATGATTCGCACGTGAAAATATCAGAGGCGAGACCCAGGACTTGAACCCGCTTCACACGGTTTCCTAAGCGAGTGTGTTACCACTGGACTACCACTTCCTTATCTATACAGATAAATAAAATTAAAGTGCCTGTTTGTGATGTCAAAATAACAGCAATTTTACTAAATGTTATTGTTATTTATAAAAAAACATTTTTTTTAAATTGCCTGTCTGTTCGTTCCGGCTAATCTCCGAAATGGCTAGGCTGATTTTGACGGAACTTTCACTAGCAGGTAGTTGATGCTATGAGGAGTAACTTAGGCTACTTTTATTTCAGTAAAAGATTTATTAGGGTTCCGGTCAAAAAAAAATTAAGTGTATCTAGGGATGAACCCAGTGAAGCGAGGGTGAGCCGCTAGTATACTCTATAACTAAAACAACTCTATCCACAGAACAAACACATATCCAAAGCTACCAGACAAGTTCCGCGTGCGGTCGCCGGAGGCCGCGCCCGCGCCCCCCGCGCCCCCCGCGCACGCCGCGCACGCCGCAGAGGAGGAGGTCATCTACTTCTGACCCGAGAGGGATATAGCGCGGGACACGCGCTCCTGAGATTGTCTGATATCCTAAACCCTCTTCCTTTCTTCCTCACACGCCACATCCCATCCCACCCTAATCTTACCCCCAAAGGAGAGGGGAGAGAAGGAATGTCGGACATCCTAAAAGAGTCTGCCCACTACACCGTCTCGTACCATGACCGTGCTATGAACGTATCAGGCACGGAAACGACCATGGCACGGACTACTATGCCCACTAGAACGTATCAACGGCATATCATACCCGTACATAACGGTTTTAGTGCTGCGTATGCTGACCATTGCGCCGCCTGCGCGCACCTGTCCCGCGACGTCGCGTGCCAGGCACGGAGCATACCGGCACCGGCAAAATATTCTCGACGACAATTGTTGTCGCTCCGTGCACGGCACACGACGGTGCCGGTCCGGTGACAGAACATTCTATTGGGCAGTGTCTCATATTTTTCCATACAAAGAATGTTTTTTTGCCTGACACAGTCCTAGCACGGTCATGGAACGGGACGGTGTAGTGACAGATACCTTAAACCTAACCTTTCTTTATTCCTTCTCCTATTCCTCCTCCCCTCCTTCTCCCTTCTCCTCTTCCACTTCGAACAAAAAATTATTTCAATTTGACGTATTTTCGATACTTTCATGAAAATTAAATTATCTGCGTTTTACTTGTCACGCTTCTGTCCCGAGTGGACTTAGCACACACGCGAACATGTAATATCCCAAATTCATCCTACCATTTATTTCACCTTACTTCCTCCTAGTTTATGCTGTCCTGGTAGCCCTTAATTAAAGTCAAAAAATTAAATATATATATATATATATATATATATATATATATATATATATATAATAAGACAATATTTGTTTGTTCCTTCGAATTTAAAGTATAAATCTTATTTCAAGTATATTTAGAATCACTTAGATTGGAGTATTGAAAGTACCTATAAATCAAAAATTAATGTTACACAAACAAATGAATAATAGGGACTAATTCTATCTTTTTACATAATATAAACATATTATTTTAAATAAAACTATCTTTTCGGATTATTTCGCGGATTTATTTTGATTTTTGATTCCCGACGTTTCCAACGGGACCCAAAAATCAAAATAAATCCGCGAAATATTCCGAGAAGATAGTTTTATTTAAAATGTCAAATATTCGCGTAAATCTAAGAAAGTATTATATAAACATATTATGTTTTTAAAAATGATAAAAATCTGATTTTCAAAGATTTTAAAGCTGATAAGTAACATTGTACTGTATATTTAAAAAAAAATTGAAACAAGTCTCATTAAATTAAAAAAGTCATGTCCATGTATTCCATTTTCATTAATATTTATATGTCTATGTGAAGTATTTTTTTTTTGTGAAATTAGTACGAGTTTTAATGATATTCTGAAACGAAATAACATACCATACTACCTAGCAAGGAAGAATTACTTAACTTATTCTTACATACTAGATAGTATGAAATTCATTCACGGTTCGAAATATCATTAGAAATATATTTTAACTATTATACTTAATAAAAAAATTATGGTTATTCAAATTATATTTAGTACTAAAAAGACATTAAATCTTTTTGATAAATATATGTAAAATATGTATTTAATTTTTAAGTAAAACTATCTTTTCAGGTTTATTCATGGATTTATTTTGATTATATGCAGACAGTTGTAGTTTTCTTGTATTTTTTTATCATTTTTAATTTTGTGGGGATGTCCTGTCTGTAACAAGTATATGACCTATGTAATAATATATATTTATGTAATAATATATAATAATAATATATATAATATATATACCTATGTAATAATATATAATAATATGACCTATGTAATAATATACACTGACCTTTGAAACGTCTAAAACCTTAGTCTCTCCCGTGACCATGATTGCTGTAAAGCATTCGCAACGTCGGGAACCAAAAATCAAAATAAATTCCGAAAAGATAGTTTTATTTAAAATATCAAATATTCGCGTAAATCTAAGAAAATATACATATTTACTTGTCAAAGATTAAAGGGATGTAACAATGACTGACAAGACTTTCGTGCAATAATGTCGATGTGTTTAGATAGCTTTATAAAAAAATATTTTTACTTACAAGAAACCTTCGCGGTGTTAATTGTGCAGCTATGAATGGCGTCTGTTTTAATCTATCATTAATATCTACGTTACAATACAATAAAAGCTAGTCAAAAATATTAAATTTAAAATTAAATAAACCTTATATTTTGATAAAACTTCTCTTCAAAACGGACTATTTAAAAAAATCATATAGAATGTTACATTAGCGCCTATATTGTTAAGATATAGTGTTAAATAACTTGTTGATACATTGACGTTAATAGGTTTACATTAATCTATTCAAAATATTCTTCGTTATAGTGGCTGAGACGGACGCACATTGTCGAATTTTACGATAAAGGTCTTTGCAAGAAGGTTTTTATTTCTTATATGAATACTCTAAACACTATATTAATTTTAACCGTTTATCGCGTTGCATAAGAAAATAATAAAAATCATTTCGTAAAACTCACCAATGTGCGTTTCCATTACCGTTCAATCGTTTAAAATTAATGAAGATGTCTGTGGTATTTTAGTACTGGGGGTTTGTCGTGATGGATACGAAATACCTTCTGTTAATAAAGACAAATTCAAGATATTAATAAATTGAATATCGTGTCGATTTTTGACATATTCTTGCTCTCCCACAGGACACAACCTACTCTAAATCTTTATACAATATGTTAGTTTTGTCTCTTTCACTCGTGTGAAGCTAGACAGGGACGATGCACTTTTCTAATAATGCGCTGACATAAATAGAAGGAAGTTATTACAAAATATATTTTTACATAGCGCGTTATCGTCCAGTGTGCGAACTTTAAATTCGAATTAAATACACTGAACATTTTACTTATATGAACGTATGCAAAGAGATGACAATTGGATATTATATTTTGATTTTAAGAAAAACAAGTATTATGAGTATATCATATAAGTCGAAGTTTCAACTTTATTCTGTTTCTTGACATAATATTTCAAATTTACATAAGAACTTAATATATAAATTAAAAAACCTTATCATTAGATACTTTTGTACTATTAAATTAAAAGCAATTCAAATTCAATGCACGCGTTTTAAACAAAATATATCAAATTTTCTACACTAAAAAAAATATATTTTTAAATTACTTCTTAATCAATAATTATTATAAATAAAAATATACTATTTTCTTTCGTTACTATGTTCGTTCGTTTCGGTCTAGAGGTTCATATTATGAAAGTTCGACCAAAACGTCACATTTGAGCTTACTAATGGCGGAAAGGAAGATCTGTTATATGAGAGTGAAAATTAAAATATAATCTATTACTTAATAAAAACCGATATAATTAGAAATGTGTATAGCTTTATAATGTATCTATAAATAACTAACACTTCGACCGTTATAAAATGAACTCTATCCTCGACTATATATGGTCGATTTTAAAATAATGTAATTATACTGGTCAGTATAAGTACTGTTACTTGTAAATATGTTGAAAGTTATAATTATTATATGTAATACAATGTTATATTCACTATCAAGTTGTATTTAACTCTATACGCATAATAAGAGCAGCAATTTCATGTTTTAGACACTTTTTCGGAAAAAATATATTAATAATGCATAATATTTTCAACTTTCATAATTTTTTTAGTATTTTAAGTAGTTCAAATATTTTTTTTAATCTATATCTGTGATTTTTTTCCATCATATAACAGAATTTAATGATTGAAACCATCATTTAAGTTAATTAGTTTTATCTAATGGTAATTTACGTGAAATTGCTACTCTTTGAAATTTACTCTTAAGATTGCTTGCTAATATTCCGTTACACAATATTTGTTGAATTAAAAAAAAACAAGGAATTTCTCAACAAAAAAATATTTAAGTACTATTATCTTAAATTTAATACTTATAGTATAATTGATATTGATTTCAGTTCCACATTTTTCACATTTTTAACACCTCCAGGTAAATTTCTAAGTAATATATCGTTAACTGTAACGCCGGCGTGTTCGCGGTCGTGGAGCTATTAATAGGTACGTTAGTTACACACATACAGACGGAATATCGGCAAGCAAGTGTTATAGCTCACAGAGTATATTGTTGTTACTAGAACTCATGAGACTATGTAACTATTTTTCGTGCATTTACTGTAATCCTTTTTACTGTTTAGTCTTTGAGAGTGATATTTTGAACTATTGTCTCGTTTAGGACACCTATCGTACTTGTATATATATATAATATATATTTATCGATGTTGATGTTTGAACATATTATTATAAGTCTTTAATATCGTACGGGATATTATTTGAAATATTGTTAGATTAACTCACTGCTTTCAATTAGTGTTTTTAATGAATTGAATTTTTTTTATCTGCATCGTACTTCGGTCGGAGCCGATAACAAACATCATGACAATAAGTAAATGTTCTATTTTTCCGAACGTTAGAGGCACGTTTCTATTCGTCTCAGTATAAATAAATATATTTATTCATATGAATATATGTAATTAGATAATTTCCATTATTAGGCTATTGAATGGGCTTCGTTTAGTTTAATTTGTTTCGGTCGAGGCCAATTTATTGCATTTATCGTAATCGTTCCTCGTGATGTAAGCTTTTATTCATTGAGTATGTTTTCAATTAGGAGATTAAGTATAGTGCATTTAGTGGGACGGTGGTTAGGAGGTGTAAGTTGCGACGAAGTGTGGTGGTTTGTGCCAATCGGGTCGCATTGTTGATGTTTGAACTCGTTGCTTGTTCGTATGTTTGTGATATTGAGGCCCTAAATTTCGAATACTTGTTATAGTATACTATATTAAAGTAAAAATAGTTTGTGACCTGTCAGTTGTACATTAAGTGTTTATTTCACTCGATTACTATTTCACTATTAAAATATTTGCATTTTACTAAAGAGCTTTGACTTACAATTCCGCGGTCTCAAGACAGTCAACAGGCCAACAAGTGTATCACAGTATTTTTGTCATCGACAAATTATAGAGTTACGTGATAGAAAAAATATATTTAAACTAGACCCTAAGTTAAGTTACGCAATATTTAAATTTAAATGTTATTTTTAGCTTTAATTGATATTTATAATTTTCTTCTTATTTCTAATGAAATCCCTCCAAGTTTGTTTATTATTGTGGCAACGACAATACTACTGTGTATTGCTCAATTATGCTCATTTTTATCCCTTGTATTCGATTGATATTAAAAATTGATTCAATTATACTTTGTAAGATTTTATCCTTAACCTATGAAGCTTCTTTCGTTTTTGTCAACTGATCTGAGGCAGCTTGCAGGTTGTCTGCATGTGTTTAGAATAGATGAATGAGAATTAAACATTTACCTAGAACAATTTAGTGTTGTCATTTCAAATCTTTATCCGATGATAGTCCAATTAATATAAGGCTTACATCAAGTTGGCCGTTACGTGAACTTCATCGTTAATCGCCAGAGGGGAGTCCCCGAACCTCTACATCATATCGGTCGATATACAGGATACAGATATTTCACGTAAGCGGCAGCCCCACAAACTATATGGAAATGCTACGGGCAGCCCGGCAGCCTCATAAGGCATGCATAATCCCGCACACCCTGCATGTGGATAATACTTCCCTGTTTTATAGCATAGATTTAAAATAAAGCCACCTAGTTAGTACAAAATGTCAAATTACAAAAACGAAAAATTAAATGTGGCACTCGGAGACTGCCGCGGTAAAGCTATTGCATAGCATTTTTTATCAACTTATGCAATTATAATTATTTATTTTATTAATGCAGTATTTTTTTCCTTGACTTTCTTCATTAATAAATGCACTTTGTTTATTCGTATTTAAAACACTTTGTACACAAATCATACGAGTACAGATATTCACTGTTGTACATAGATGATAAATACCTATACACCTATATACTTTCTCACAAACAGCTGATTACGGTAGTTTTCCAATACAACCAATGCCACCTAAAGGCGGGTTGCTGAACTAAAGAGACAAGCGTGATATTTCAAAAAGTCATTAAAAGTTCTGGTATTTATCGATAGATGGAAAAACTAAAAAGTATCACCGCTGTGCCGGTCGGAGTGAGGGATGTCAGGTTTTTTCGTTACGGAATTTCTGGATTCGGTCCCCACGCTCAAGGCCCGCGATAGAAGCTATGCAATAGCTTAAAAATCCAACTGCTAGTTAAATGTTTAATTTAACTAAAAAGATGGGCATAAGATGACAAACGAACATAGTACTATGGTTTATTTGATGTGTTTTGTTTGACGCAATGCTAGTACACGACTAGCATTAAAAAAATCATCTATGGGTAATGAACATAACTTTTGTTTGGGGAAACCTAACAGATTTAACTTGTATTGCCACTTCAACAATATGGCAACACTACAACACTAGCAAAAAAAGTTAATATTTGTATTAGTCGATAGTCATCCATGGTTATTATACTTTAAATATCTTTATTTTATTAAAAGTTACAAGCTAAAACGAAAGCTATATGGGAAGATAAATATAATGTTAGTAATTATTATAATAAGATAAATATAATGTTAGTTATAATAAATTAATATAATGTTAGTAAATTATAGTTTTTCCAGGTCAAGATCTCATTCAAATTGTTACCCTAGTGTCAGTAAAACTTCAAGGGTGGCGAAATTTATAATTTAAAATAAACATTAATATTACACGGGAAACACAAATTTGAAGAGGATATAATTAAAATGCTTTTATACCCCTCCAATGGACCTACCCTACCCCAGCCTGCAAATTTATGATATTCGCAATGAAAAAAATACTAATCGATAGATTTTTAATAGCTCAATTCAACTACGTAGCCCTTCCAAATTGCTCACCATTAATTATAAAATTAAAAATCAATAAAGTCCTTGAAAAAAAATTCATTTATCCGTATATTCAAATTTCTATATCTTTTGATATATACAATATTTTAAATTGCTCAAAGTTCTAAAATACTGCTCAAGTTGCATTTGTAATTGCTCAAGTAGAGTTCTCACCAGCTCCACTTTCCTTAATTATTAAATAAATATAAATAGTTTGAATAAATTTAACGTATAGATAGGTGAGTGCTGCGCATGCGCGCAAACAGTAACGCGAGTCGCAAGGCAAAAAAATCAAGTGTTTCATAACCTCATCATAGTGAAATGAAACTGTAATACTCCAAGCACAACATCATCTATTTTTGCTTGATTTTTTTTCATGCTTCATTGATTTTTTTGCCTTGCGACTCGCGTTACTGTTTGCGCGCATGCGCAGCACTCACCTATCTATACGTTAAATTTATTCAAACTATTTATATTTATTTAATAATTAAGGAAAGTGGAGCTGGTGAGAACTCTACTTGAGCAATTACAAATGCAACTTGAGCAGTATTTTAGAACTTTGAGCAATTTAAAATATTGTATATATCAAAAGATATAGAAATTTGAATATACGGATAAATGAATTTTTTTTCAAGGACTTTATTGATTTTTAATTTTATAATTAATGGTGAGCAATTTGGAAGGGCTACGTAGTTGAATTGAGCTATTAAAAATCTATCGATTAGTATTTTTTTCATTGCGAATATCATAAATTTGCAGGCTGGGGTAGGGTAGGTCTCCAATGGTCTGGGTAGTGTCCCGGTTGCTGATACTTACAATATGCAGCAGTTGGAGGCACTGTTGCCCATAGAGAATTATTTGTATTGTACGAGTATAATCTGTTTCCTGATAAAAAATCGTAAACAATTTCACCAATCGGCAATCACCGACTCTAAGTAGTATTTAGTAATTTTACACTCTGCCTTTTTCGGTGATCCATGATGTCATATCTTTAAAAAATTGCCCGGTTACTAATTTCGAGTGTAGAAAAAAAGGTGGGTGCAGTTAAAATTTATTTGAATTATAGAAATTTCAATTCTAAAATGTAGTTAAAATAATATTTTGAAAGGTTGTTGTCGTTTGTACGTAGTAATATGTAATAAACTGGTAAATATTTTTTGAATAAATTTAAAAGTACAATAAAGTGCCATAGTACAACATTAAATTTTATAAAAGTTAATATTACAAATAACTTTACCTTAAATACAAACCTTAAATTAATCAACAGGTTTCGAACTTCTATCAATCACTTCATCATCTATATCAATTATAAATCATCATATCTAGTAAAGACTATTATTAATGATTCTCTTACTAAACATTAATAGGTCGCCTAATATGTATTTTAAAAACTAATAAATATTATTGGGTTTTTTTAAAGTATTACATTGTATTTTAATGACTCATATTTATTTTTGAGTTATCAGTAGGTACTAAATTCAAACCATGCCCAGATTTTGATATCAATATCTATTGTTATCAATAGGACACTTTAGTTATCGCATAACATGTATAAATTACAATAAATATGAATGTACAATAAATAAAATTGTAATGAAAAATTAATTAGGTATTAATAACATTGTCCTTTTCAGATAACTGACCTGTGAAATATGCTGGAATTAACAGGAAAAAATTTGCCAAATAGGCAACAAGAACTAAATATTAAAGTAAAAGAAGCAGTAACCCAAAATGTCGATTTTAATGATCTTAAACTTTTAGAAGAAAAATCTGATGTTGATAGGCTATTTAAAATTGATGTGGCCTCGGAGTATAAAAATGCAGCTTATATCTTAGAAATGTTTACAAGTGGTGATTCGTTGTACATTTCGAGAGCTTTAAAGTCATCGTGGCTATATAGTGAAGAATATGTGTATATCATTAACCCTGATTATTTGCACAAGAATATATTCCCATCAATGTCTGTGAAAATGACAAAAAAGCTTTTAACAACTATATCTAAAAATATAAGAAGTGAAGAGAGAGCACTCAGCTTCTACAAATATTGCTGTGAAAATAAATTCCAGAACATTGCAAATAAGTTCCTATTATTTACTTCTGAGAAACATAAATTGGAATATTTAGAGAAGAAAACATGTTTAGATTACTCTATAGACATTCCTCATTTTGTTGGTGATTCATTTTGTCTTGCTGAAAAATGTTCAAACAGGAGAATCTTACTCAGCGAGTTATGCTATTTGTACTCTGTATGTAGTGAAAGATATTTAGATTTATTTGAAAGCTCTTGTGACCATTCGTATGGTTTAAAATTTGGACGCAGGATTTCTAAAAGTATTTTAACAAAGCAAAAACATAGAGTTACAAATAATCCAGCGCTTTATATTGAATACTTGGATATTAATATGATATTAAAATATAGTACTGTTGAAGATGCAAAGTTGTATTTAAAGACTTTATTGCCAGACAAAGCAGTAGATTTTTGGCCAAATTTTTCAAAGTATAGTGGTAATTCAAAGAAAATGATATCAATTATGAAACTCCTACCAGAAAATGACAAATATAATTTTTTGAAACAAATATTTATAACAAAATATCTGGCGGAGCCATTTGAAAGTAGTCATGAGTTTTACAATAATAATATGTTTGAGCTGATGACTTGTGAAGAGAGGGAAGTTTGGGCCTTGACGTACATTAAAGAAAACACAGAATTCCTAGGCAGTGATCAAGAGTTCATTTGGTGTAAATATGTAAGTTTTGAATTAGCATTCAAGGAAATAAAAAAGTATATTTTACTGGCAACTGATCATTTTAAGAGAACCCAGATGCTTAGTATATTGGTAGGTGCAGCAAGAACTGAAGAAGATTTGGAAAAAGTTATTAATTATTATTATGATAGACATATTAATGAAAGAGGCCTTGATAAAGTAGATTTTGTTGAAAAAATATGTGAAAATCATAATGTTTTCAAATTTAAGGAATCTTGCTGGACAGCTTTCAACAAAATTTTACATAGTATGAAAGTTTACACCAAAGACTTTTTTTATGATCAATTTAGGACTCTTTCCATTGTTTATCATATCTTAAACAACAAAGAAATACCAGACACATTACAGGTTGAGATTATAACTGAAACTAGACTGCATTATTTCAATGGACACTTGCGAAAGTTAACTAAAGATGAAATTAATCTGGTATATAAATATTATTTAAATCTATTAACTAGCAAAGCTGAAGCTTTTGCTGGTCAAGAGTATGATAAGAATAATGTAAGAACTATTCTGTCTTCTGTTTTACTTATTTTAAATCACTTTAAAAAAACAAAGGATGACTGTCCGGAGATTATTATGAAATATATAAAATTGGATTGGGACTATTTTAAACATTCAGAATTTCTGGTGAAAAAAGAGAATATTACAGAAAGTTATTTAATTCGCCTGCTGAAACAAGATGCCAAACTTTTATTGAGCAAATTAACAGAAGCTAAAAAAGGTCTTTCAATTTATTCTTCATTACGACTAAACAGTTTAATGAAGAAGATTAAAATATACTTTTCTAATGATATAGCAAGAGATTGTCTTAATACTTTTGAAAAGTGGTTGTCAGATGTCGAAAATATTACGTACGTTATTTACAGAGTGACTATATGCAGTATATTCCAAATAGCAGACGAAGATTACAAAATTAATTTCATGTCGAAGTACACCCCTACTGATGCAAAGATAGCACATGATAGGATAGATCAACACGTCTTAAGAATCCAAGAGTCTATTTGTCGATTCGCTCATTACTCAAGGCCGCCGATACCTTTGCAGGAACTTCTTAAATTTATTAAGGGCGATTACGTACACTTTTGCTTGCCGATGTTCGGCTTTTATGTCATGAACCTGCCGCCCCCTATGGTTCTCCAATTTATAGCGGCGATCCTAAACACACCGGTGTCAGTACAGAAACACGGTCTACGTCTAGCGTTCCAATGCTTTAATCCTGATGAATTGAAGAAACTTGTATTGGATTGTTGGGGTAGAACGAAAAATGTATCTTTACGAAAAGTCCTTTATAAAGGTCTCTATGATCGTGTGACGGCCGGCGATGACGCAATCGAAGATTTTTATGAACTACTTAAACTAATTACCTTACAACTAAGTGACGATGACGACGATGAGATATTTGGTCTGTTGTGTAGTGTATCATCATTACCAGAACATTTGAAAGGGGACTATTTGCAGACAGCTTGGAAAGCTGTTCAAAAATTATCAGATAAAAACATAAAGAACTTTGATAGAAAAAGAGAAGTCATAAAAAAAATTCAGTCAAATATTGATATAATGGATAAAGAATTCTGTCGCAGTCAAATTTTGGATGATTTTATCAAATCAATGTTAGTTGAGAGAAAAATTCACGTAGAATATAAAAATTATAAAATTGTAGAATTAATCCAAGAAATGTGGACTCTTGCTGTGAAATATATACTCCATTTCGATAATCAAGAACAACTTAGCAGAAGTTTGGAATTGGCATCCTTTATTATTAAAAAATGTGTGGAAATGTGGGATTGTGTTTCCCAAAATATTTATACTACTCGCAAATTTCTAATCGAGTTTTTAGATACATTACTAAATGAATCTTACTGTGATAGGAATAAAGGCCAAGCCATACCTGTTTTACAGAATATAATGAAAGAACTAAGAGAATTAATTCCAATAAGAGAAATATATATTATATATTGTAAATTTACATTTGTTCTTGTTTCGAAGGAAGTGATGGGAACCAAAAATATGGAATTATTGACTAACGAAATAAGTTCTACAACTTATACAGATATTGCCCAAGAGTTTACTGATAAATTGGTAACATCGTTAATGGACTTGAAACAAAACCAAATGTTGTACACTAGCTTTTATAGTCAACTGGCTAGTGAAATTTCACAAATTATTATATCAATGACTTATGACACTGAATTGAAAAGTGAGTGTCTGTTGGCCCAAGTGTGTGAACGTTTGACTGACGTCCAAATGTTTGAGACCTATGCTTTAGCCTTACTAATATTTCCTACTGAAATCCAAACAGCCGAAGCGGAAGTGCTGCCACCATTTGCGAAAAAAATTAAAAAAAATGGTAATGAAGAATGTCAAACTATGTTATGGAATACTATTTTATCTAGTGGAAATTATAGGCCTTGCACCTGGACTGTCCGCAGAAATTAAGGATCGTAATAAATAAGCTACTCTAAATGCAAAAGAACATGTAATTTGTATAGAAACTATTAATTTAACCATTTATTTATATAAGTCTTAATCTTTTCAAATAAATTTATTTACCTAATATATTTTTGGATTAAACATTTATTGAAATAATATCTTTTATTTATTACTTAATACAAGCGTGTTAGAAACAAAGAATAAGAAATAAGTCTACCAAAAAATTGTTTGGCCAGGTCATATAAAGTTTCGGATGATCTACGGATATATGGGAAGCTTTACCGTAGCCGATCGCGGTGGATAGATTGAATTTAGATCAAGCTTTCAGTTCTACGGGAAAATTTTCCATTATTCTCAGAATTTTTACTTTAACCTTTACATTAAAGTTCTCAAAAACAAATCATGTTTTTTGTGGTATTTTTATTTTTGTAGTTGGCAGACGTGATAGATTTTTAAAAGCAACATATCACGTCTGATTCCCTCACTACCAACGGCTTTAGAAGTTATGGATACACTGCCTCTCTGGACGTCCTCTGAGATACCATGAAAAACAAAAGGGTCACAGTCAGGTTAGGACCTTATAGCTCCCCCCCAACGTGCGTTCACCTTGTCGTGATGGGGGGGCTCAGTAGTGCCCGGCAACCCAACCGGGCGCGAAGCCAAGAAACGCACAGGGAGGTGGCCCACTTCGGTGGGCGGTGGGAGGCGCCCTCTTCGGAGGGCGGTGAACCATGCGGGTTGCTCCTGGTACTTCTCTGATAGCAGAGTGGACCTTGGAGCAACCCTGTGGTTGTTGTGGTCTGCTTCGGCAGACCTGCCGTCGGGGCGTCGTAGTTGAATGCGTAAGCGATCCTACGACGCCTCATTAAGACGGGGGAAGGCTTTGTTGGGTTTTAGTGGGTAGTACTGGCTTTGCCGGTGAGTCCCACACATCGTGCGTAAATGCATTTCCCAACGTTAAAAAAAAAGGACCCTATAGCTAGTATTTGAAGTGTTAACGTCTTCTCAATATTTAAAATTTGACCTGGTGGTGTAGAGCAATTCGGAAAATTGACATCAACGGAGATTAAATTTCGGATCAAGAGCGAGAATGTCAAATAAGTGTGTGATCTTAGTATTTAATATTTGCAATTTATCCACTACACTTGAACCACAATATTTGGACCGCAAACAGTTCAGAGTTGAATCGTTTATCGTATAGTTTCGATCCGATCCGAAAATCGATTGGATCGTATGCCCTCGATCCGATCTTCGAAAACATTCGAAAACAAACAAACAAGTTTTTGACAATTCACATCTAGTCTATACATATAATAAAATTCTAACGAAGCCGAATCTGTACATTAAATATTTTTTGGAAAATCTTATTGAAATAGACATTATTATCGATACAGAGGCCAAATCTATAGTTTTTAGAATTTTTGTCTGTTTGTCTATCTGTTACCGCATCACGAAAAAACCACTGGAGGGATTTTGATGAAATTTGGTACGGTGATAACTGGCTATTCGGGTCAACATATAGGGTACTTTTTACCGCGGGAAAATAATTCAATTCTGAGAAAAAATACAAAAACTGCAATGTAAGAGTATACTAATATGTAAAACCTAAGAATTTGGTTTTTGGTCATCTGAACGCGGGCAGAGCCGCGGGCAATGCTAGTATCTAATAAAGTAGTATCTTCAATTTTGTATGTCATTTATTTTTCATGTCAATTATTTTTATTGTACATATTATTCTAATTTTAACTTTAATTTATATTATGATTATTTAATTATAGTAGTTAATATGTGTAATTCTTTAATTTAATTTCATCTATTATAAATATTTATTAGAAATTGTATTTAACATTTTACATATTATTGTTTTAAAGCCGGAAATGTAATTAATGCTGTGTATGCCTATAATTAATGCTTGTACTAGAATAAGTAATCTTATAATAAAATAATTTAGAATGTACAGTTATGTAAGGTACAATGTTTTGTTGGCATATCTTTCAAATAAATAAAAAATAAAATAATAAGATTCTGGTAATGATCGTTGTGGGAAACGATATAGTTCTCGAAATTGTCTTTATTCTATTCTTTCATGAAAATATATATATTAATACGAGGTTATATGTTAATCATATATAATTTATTTTCAGGATATATGCGTGAAAAAAATTTCTGATATGATTTAATGGGTTCAAAAGGTTATGCCAGGAAATTTAATCATGTGTATCTACGATAAGTAACTAACTGCATCATTTTGTTGTTAGGTTTATGAATGAGGATTTAAAAAAGAACTTCGCGAAATTTAAAGTAATATTTATTCGTATACTCAATTTTCAGTTTTTATGCTTGTTAATAGTTGCATTAGATTTCTTTATCAAATGTTTTGTACTGTTCGAAAACTCGAGGAATTTTTCATCCGAATCAAGACAAGTTGTCTTGACAACTTTCTTCATCAACTATTAGGACTAAATTACTTTCTTCTTCGTCTATAGAATCAGCATCATCGATCTGCTTTTGTTTAACGAACTCTCTGACTTTAGGTTTGAACTTCAAGACGTCAAGCGAGCAGGCTTTTTTATTGCTCTTGATGTAGTTAACCATAGCTGCAACATATTTTTCAACGTCAGTCTTCATTACATATGCCATCTCCATATAATTCTTGTATTTATTGAGGTCAAATCTACGCATTAATATTCTTCTTTCCTTATCTTCCATTCGGTCAAAATATGGACATTTTGGTTTGTTTTTTGCCAACTCTCTATGCATTCGATTTCTTAGGTTATGCAATTTTTCAATTTCTCGCCAATCATCAGCGTCTCGTTTGAATTTATTGATGAACTTCAATTTAATATAAGACTTAAGCTGTCGCATTTCAACTGCAAAATTGTCACTATTAATTTTATCGTAATCAAACTCCTTGGAAATATCAGTGCTGTCACAAAGTTCATTATTGCGATAAGCGATACAACGGCTCTTGAAGAAAGGTGCAGCTACTGAAAGGTCGATTTTTTCCGGGTCTTCATTGAATGCATGGAAAACAACCATTTCATAATCTATGTCTTTATTCAATTCCAAACATTCGTCTATACTTTCCCGGCTTATCATGCCATTTGTGACGATGTACAATAATTTGATTCAATCATTTTCAGAAATAATATAGTTTTTTCGAAGGTACCGTACAAGACATCCTGGATCTCTCCGTTCACAAATATCGACGTTTGATTGTCCAGACACGTCGCCACTTGTATAATTCTTCATTCCAACCTTATCTTCATTGACCTCCCAACAGACGTCGCTCCAATGCAAATAAAGAATTTTAAATTGTCTTGCAGGCTCTTGGGCAAGCGATTGTCCTTTGATGCTTTCGATGTCACATTTGAATTGTTCAAGAGTCTTCAAATTGTTACTGTGGTAATACTCGGCTCTATTTATCGAATCCGAACAATCTTTTGCGTAAATAAAATAATCAACCATTTTTAATGCGGATCAGATTTTGGGGACTTCCTGATCGTACAACGCTCGGTTCCAAACTGAATAGACAAAATGGTTGCTACTTGCTAGCATGGATGACAAATAAAAGTTGCTAGCGGTATTTGTACGATATTCAAAGGGCATGACGTAACGAGTGGGTGGGGGTAAACTCGAATGACTCAACTCAACGAACAGAGTGTTTTGATGTAGCTACTCTAAGTATTATTAGATCGATGTTTTAAAAAAAATAAACCATAAACTATACTATCAGTCAGGTCACTAATTTTTTATCTAGAGAAATAGATTAAATTCTCCTATCGCATGAAAGAATTTCTTTCATATACTAATTAATTTATTGGTTGATAATATCACGTCAACAGCAGTTATTACAACTACGGATTTTAAAGGCGACTCAATAATTTATGTGTACATATATCTATATTTTCGTCGGACGCGTGAGACCTTCTGATGCTCGATGCGTTATCGTGTCGCAATTATTACGATGACGATCATTTGACTGAACGTTGAATGTATTTTTTTTTAAGATTATTCGAATGCGAGCTTGTAGACAACATTTGGTTAATAAGACATTATTTCGAACTCAATTCTTGAGCCACCAATCAAAAGTCATTCGCCTGAGACATATGATAGGGTTAATAGAATGGAAACTAAATAATTTGTTGAAGTAATGTATCATGTAGATATTAAATCAAAACAGACCAGTACTATTTTATATTTATTTTATAACTTTCGAACACAGAAAAACTTATACGCAACGCCATGACAGGTAAAGTAATTATATAGAACAGTAGGGGTGAGGAAATAGATGGCGCTATATATAGAATAAAAGATTATAAAATTTACCACAGATTACAACATAATTATTAGATAACAGTCTTTTTATTTTGTAGACTTATACTTGGATAACAATTTTTTAAAGTTGATTACATTTTAGGTAGCTATTAATAAACCACGTCACATATTGGAAGACCAGAAACAGAACTAAATATAGGACACGGGTCTAGATTTATTAATCCCAATAATAATTCCAATAATCTCGAGGAGGAGGATCATAATCCATAAATGTTATAGACCCGGTATAATTTTTGACATCGACCATCATTCGTTCCGTAAAGCATTTTTTCAATTTAACATATATATTTTCTGCTATTGCTCCTTCGTTTACTGCACTGGGATCATCAGAGCTGAAAATTTCGTGAATATTCCAGAATTTGGTCTCAATACGGCCAGAAGTCTCGTCGAAGAACCGTACCACTACACAAGACACTTTTGTCGTAGAAATATCTGTCGATTCGTCTGTCATAACGCTGAATTAGACGTTTTTAATTTGTTCGCTAATTCTTCTTTGTGCTCTGGACCGATGCCGTTATATATGATTTTTGCAGTCTTTTTTCGTGTAATAGTAGTTTCTTTTAAAATTTTTAAATCTGTAAAACATTCTTTTAATACTTTGCCAAGGTGGTCAGCAGAATTAAAAGCTATATTATGTTCTGCAAAATAAGCAGCAAGCTTGACTTCAGCCACTCGCGCCAACTTAACAGTGTTATTTTCCTTAGAAGTAATTGGTGATGAAAAATAAGACGTCACCGGGTTTAGCGCACGGATCAAATATAAATTTTTCTCGTGTTTTTTCTCCCTCAGAATGAGTCGATAAAACATGCTTGGCGGCCATCATTGAAACATTACATACTTTACATCGTGATTTGAAATTATCTTGAGGATCACGAGTAAGCCACTTACAAAATTTTGGATCACATTGCCATTCGACTCTATATTTTTGTTGTCTATGTTTTTCCTTCACTTTTAAATCGCCTCTTTCAACGCGTTTCTTCTTTGGCGTCGAAACACCACACTTTTCTTCGCCCTCACTTTCACTCATGATTACAAATTGCGATTACAAAATAGTTTATTCTCAAAATTGTCAAAGCGTAAGAAACAATAATATTGGCTGCTTGACCACGATGCCCGAGCGTGCAAATTACCGAACATGTTTTGCGTGGAATAATGCAAAAGAAAACTGCATAAAACTCGAAAAGACGCGTTTTCCCAAATATAAGACTAATCTAGATCGATTTATCGCCCCCGAAACCATCGGTATAATAAATTTCATGAAAATCGTTGGAACCGTTTCCGAGATTCAGATTATATATATATATATATATATATATATATATATATATATATATATATATATATACAAGAATTGCTCGTTTAAAGATATAAGATGTAAAATGTATAATTATATATTAATATAGTGTCATTTATTGGAAAATTAACTATACTATATCTTTAAGCTTTATCAGCGCCATCTATTAAGAAAGTTCATAAATACGTATGAGAACGCCATCTAGTTTGTTAACTAGAAACTACGTACGTATTCAATTCCATTGTGGTTCTTAAAGGTTTGAGAAAATAGCAATAGATGACGTAAATAACCAAAAGTAGAATGCTATTGTATCATATATTTTTTCGTAAAGTTGAATAATTTTTAAATACATAAATAAATATATTTATTGTAATGTAAGAATTATACAAGGTACTATAAATAAGTACTTTTTTATTTTAGTGAAAGTAACAGTACAAATAATTATTAATATTTTTTAGGTGAAAATAATGAATTATTTTAATTAACAAGTACCTATACATATAAATAAAATTGAAGTGTCTGTTGGTAATGGCGAAATAAAAGCTTTTTACTAAATTCATATGAAATTATCTACGGTAGGTACTTAAACATTTTTGTCTGTCTGTCTGTCTGTCTGTCTGTCTGTCTGTCTGTTTGTTCCGGCTAATCTCCAAAACGGCTAGACTGATTTTAACGGGACTTTCACTTGCAAATAGTTGATGTTATAAGCAGTAATTTAGACTACTTTTATTTTAGAAAAATAATTAGAGTTCTGCTAGTTTATTATAACAATATTTTTGAATATTTCATTTATAGCACCTGAGATATTTGTTTGAAAGATTTTCATTGTTGATAATATAAAATAAGAAAATAGTTTTTAATAAGGCCATGAGTCATGACAATAATAAAAGTTATATCATAACACGTAACAATTTATTATACAGTGTTTTATGTACTTAAATGGACAGTTTGAAACTTTTACAATTACTAGTAGTCTCTGCTTCATGGTCTGTACAGGACTCGATTCTAAAACAACCTAAATGTTTGTAATTATTCTTTAAATTGCATCTTTAAGTCGATGTAATAAGGTACATTTTTATTATTTTTGTAAATATGTAATGCGACTCCACTTTAAACTTCAGAAACCATGTTGTATATAATGAAATAACTTTGAGAAGTGTGTCTTCGTCTTAATTCTGATAGTTAGTCTTCTGGTTTAGCGGTTAGAAGGATACTTGTGCTTTTGTTGCTATTATACCTACTATGACATTAAAAAAATGATAATATTATTTTTAGTCTTCTTTATTTAGTCTTTCTCAATAAACGGGCTATCCAATGCAAAAAGGGTTTATCAGATCGAATTAGTAGTTCCTGAGATTAGCACGTTTAAACAAACGAACTCTGCCTCTTTATAATATTAAATATAGATGAGAATTTATCATCTCGTTTTTTAATTATGTTATTTTTAATTACAACTAATTGAAAGGGCTCTGTGTAAACATACTAGGCACAAAATAAATGATTGAGTGTTTGTTTTTAATTATACCAAAGAATCTAATAAATAATAAACATCATACTTTGTTTTAATATATAACATCTTTGTGTGTCAGGATATGAAATATATTTAACTTGCACTAGTTTTGCTATCACTTTGTTTCGTTACTTCTAAAGTTGTTCTGGCCTTTTTATCGACGTTGGTGGAGTCTAATTTATCTCCTACATAAACAGTCGTTCCGAATATAAGAGCTTTTGCTTCAGCTTTTAATGTACCTTTGTTATCGTCGACACCTTGGTCGTAGGCCACTTCGCCTTGAATGTTTTTATATTAAAATTAGAGGAAAAAAATGATTACCTTAAATTTTTAATACTCGTACACACATATAAAATTCTAACTGAGCCGAAACTACATTAAATATTTTTTAATGTGGCCAAATCTATAGTTAGAATTTTTGTCTGTGTGTCTGGGAACGCATCACGAGAAAACCACTGGACAGATTTTGATGAAATTTGGTATGACGATAGCTCGTAGCCCGGGTCAACACATGTAATACTTTTTACTGTGGGAAAATATATCATCTCTGAGAAATCTATACTAAAATTTAAAAGTCGTAAGTACTAATATAATGAATGGGAATTTTGTGAGTTAATATGTGTATTCGATTCCTTCTTCGCGCTGTAATAGTTTAAGTGATTTAAAATAGTTGAATACAGACATACATATTTTCTCCAGATATTTACTTCACTTTATTGGAGAGCAGCAATCATGCTGTAAATGATACGCACATGAGAATATCAGAGGTGCAAGAGCCAGAATTTGAAGCCACTTCGCTTGGTTTTCCAAGCGAGTGCATTAATACTACCTAGTAGGACTAGACTACCATTGTCTATACACAAATTAATTTAGAATTTATCAAGAAAAAATAAAATAACATTATTATTTATTAATGAAAATTATGACTTACCGTCTCAACCTTAGTTTTTTGTTTATCTAAAGTCTAAACTAACATCACTAGGACGACACACAGTGTTAGCGAACTTGTAAGTATCGGGATACCTTAAAACGAAAAAAATATACCAATTTATATTTATCCTTTGGCTCATTATGGATCAGAAATAAAATATTAGCGGGGGAATCAAGACCTAGAAAAATAGTGTTCAGCTCTACCTCTACCTATGACAAAAGGGCTGGCTTTGGATTCAATTCAGTTTTCTTGGCTGATATTTTACACCCAAAGAAAAATAAAATTGCGTGTGTGACGTGTGTGCAATTCAGACATGCTAGAAGTGAAACTTCAGAAAAGTAACCTACGACTGAATGAAATGAATATAGAGTATCAGGAGGAGGATAATTATAAGGTTTATTTATTTTTTTATGTTTTTACCAATTTTAAAAGTTATGTTACATTTTATTTGACATAAATAATCGTTCAATATTATTCAGTGATTAATTTTATTATTTTTCACTTCCTGTATAATGTATTCTATCTCAAATAATTAAATTAGTATTAATAACAACGGTTACCATGGCAACATGGTAATGTATTCTATTTCATTCTCTCGCCGGCTCAATTCTATATATATGTTTGTCTCTTTCTAGTGCCGCATTTCCGTATCATCGTATTTCAAAACACAACGATTCTAAAGAAGTTTCACTTCAAAAAGTTACCTCATACGAATGCAACATACTGAACATGAACGAATTAGTCTCTAATTCGTTCATGATACTGAATATAAACTATAGGTTTAGACACATATTAATAATTCAGTACAAAAGATGAAACTCTGATTGGTTTATCGATATATCCGCTATTTGTTTAGTAAAACAAATACGTCATACGGCGAGCGCGGTGCCCTAGTTCTGTACAGACTGGAATGTGTGCATAAAATGCTTTAAAATCACAAAAATCGAGCCTGAATTTAGGAAAGGAAAATATTTTAAAAGGCCTTGTAAAAGTTTGCAACATTTTATACTAATATTGAAGTGGTTCGTTTGCTATTTTATTTCAGTTAGCGATTATGAAGATGTAAATATGTTGGGATTAATTTTTACTTTGTGCTTTACGTTTCCTTTCAAAGCCGTTTAGTTATGACCTGATAATATTTTTATTCGTTTTTCATATATAATTTGACTAGTGTTTGTCAGTGGCTTCACCCGTATAGTTTATTAATATGTAATTTTGCCACACTCAACTTCTAATGGTCGCAATTGTATGTTACTTAAGCCTTCCTCGATATTATATACTATATAACATAAAAAGAATTTCCAATCAGACTGGTAATTTAGAGATTAGAAATGGTAAAATACGAAAAAAATCTCTTAAGCTGTTACGTTCGTACATATTTGTATTAATTACTAGGTATGAGCTATGTGAGAGCACGCGTGCACACATATGTAATTAGCACGAATATATAAAGCGATGTATTTACTTAATAAGAGAGTTGGCATATAACTCTCGTCTCGTGTTCATGATTTCATATCCCAGTAGTAAACGCCACAACTATACTCTACACAGAAACAATATTTGATTTATCACTCTTTAGATATAAAGTACCTACCTAATATAATTGAAGTGCATAAATGCATTTCTGGTACTTGCATGGTAAATCTGTAACCTAATTTTGAAACAACTAACTTTAAATTGTTTTTACTTGACATCTGTATCAAACAAATATTTATTATACCCTATCTATATCTATACGTATAATAAAATTGCAACTAAGAATTTGTACTTTAGATATTTTGTGGAAAAGCTTATTGAAATAAACATTATTATCGATACAGAAGCCGAATCTATAGTTTTTAGAATTTTTGTCGGTCTGTCTGCTACCGCATCACAGAAAAACCACTGGTGAAAATGTCTTATTTCTGAGTAAAAATACAAAAACTGCAATGTAAGAGTATACTAATATGTAAAACCTAAGAATTTGGTTTCTGGTCATCTGAACGAGGGCGGAGCCGCGGGCAATGCTAGTTATATCTAAAAATCTACTTTAGATCAAGGAAAATTCAGTTATTTAGGAAAATTTAATTTTAAAATATTATGTACCGTCAACACCACGTCAGCTATAATACGAATATACTCTTCATACTCGCCAAAATTAATTTTAACAGAGGACAATGACATCAAAAGTGTAATATTAATATTAGCAAGCTCCAGTTAACTTGCTTAGACGTGATACTCTATTAGACAATACGCTTTACCCTTCTGACGTCAGGCAAGAGACACAGTATGAAAATTACAGTATAAAATAATATTTTTCGACTTTATACACAGTATACGCACAAGTACCTATCGATTTTAAAATTTTTGTATTATTTCATTAGCATATTGTAAAACGTGTTAAATTAATACTATATGAGGCGAAATTGAGTTCATTTTCTATAATTAATTTTTTTTTTTTGCCTTTAACTCACGTTATGTATGTAAGAGTTTAAATAAAGCCAGCATTGAAAGCCGCCAAATTGAATATTTTCTTGATTTTCACGATTATAAATCCCAGTTGCAATATATAAGGTAAAAACCGTATACTTCTAGCTTCTTTTTTTTAATTTTAAGACAGTATTAAGTTTACAAATAAATATCCTTAAAGGTCGGGATAAAAATACCTTATATAACCTGTTTACAGCCTATCTCTTTGTGCATAAGTTTATTAACATATTACTCTGTTATTGCGCAAAAGGGTAGTGTTTAATTTTTAATATTAATAAGGATAAAGAAATTAAATACTTATCTCTCTACTCTATGGCACGACGCACAAAGCTCCGCATACACGTAACCTAAATCCATGCATTTTGGGGAAATGGACCCGCACCGGACATGTAACATGCTTCAATCACAGAGTACACTCCAGAGAACTGTATTTACTGTGTACATAATGTGTGTGGTTTCATTGAATTTTACTTTTAGATAGTAAAAGTTATTGCGATCAGTTATCTGAGCTTTTGCACTACTTGTTGTAGCGTTAATGACGTTAGTGGGCTGGAGTTTTGGCATTAAAGCTTCATAAGTAAAGTAAAATTCCAGTGAAGTATGATTTTTTTGATGCTTTGATGCTAGAAAAAGCTTTTTTTATGTATGTTCACCGATTACTTGAAGACGCCTGAACCAATGTGGAAAATTCATTTTTGCTTTCAAAGGGTACTTCCCAGGTGGTCCCATTAAAATTTTATCGAAATCGGTCGAGCGGTTTTAAAAAAAATCAATCATGAATTATTTATAAATCAATGTTTTAATCGAATATGTTATTAAGAAAGTTTCTTCTTACAAATTACCTGCTTATCACGTATACACTTAAAATGGAAAAATAAAAACTAAAAAAAAAACTGACTTCCAGGTACTAAAAAGTAAAAAATATCTAACTAAACGAGGGTTTTCATTTAAAATAGATACAGATATTTTCGAAGTTGGCGTGCTTTAATTTGTGATGGCTGTTTTTTTAAGTTTTTATTTGTTTATGACTAAGTTAAGCATAATCTACAATTTCGTGTTTTGTAACTTACAATGTTGTGGATTTATTGGTAGTAAAACCTATCCATAAAAAATAATAATGAAAATCAGCTTGCAATTGGTGAAAACATCGCTTAACTTACACAACAAAATTTCTGTCCTCCTTTTTGAAGTCGGTCAAAAGTCAAAACAAAAATTATCGTTTGAAATAAATTATGGTTTTACGATTTCCTTTACATAAACAAAGAATATAGTGATATTTTGACTGTCTAGTTGATTTTTATATGTACGGCTTCGTGAGGTCCTGGGTTCGAGCTCAAGGTTGAGTCAAAATAGAAACCGAGTTTTTTATACTCAATTACATACTTATTAGTAGCCTGGAGTTAGGAAGTCGACGATGTGTACATCCCCTTGTCTTGGAGAGTGGCTGTACTACTATTATCTACTATTGAGTAACTCACTCCGTTAGCCCTTTATTATTTACTACATATATCAAAACACGAAAAACTAACTTAATTTAGCCTAGGCGAAATTATGACACATGTGAGGATCGAACCCACGACCTATAGAGTAATACAGCCTTCAGCCGCCGTAAAAATCATAAGAAAACTTCCAGCCAAAATTAAGATCTCGTATCGTTGGCAAATGGAAACAAGCGTTCCCCATGCACTGCCGAGTCAACATAATGTATGTGCTCCGTATTTGGCGAGCGCCCAAATTTACTGCCAGATAGTGTACCGGGTTATAGATATGCTTTTGTAACGTCCGAAGTCATGTCCAAATAGAACTCTGAATATTCGGAGACAGCCATACATAACCCTCTGTGACGTGAAATATGAGCAAAGAGATGCTTAATTGCTTATTTTAGAAAGCTTTGACTAAAGCTTTGGTCAGCAAAGTCATACAAAATTGTGACTGCTTTATAAAAGAAATTAGTATGTATGTTCTACTTTTGAATGTTTCACAGAGATTAAAATGATGTTAGGTATTTAGTTTAGAACTAACAGAACCCGCGGATTCGCTCGCGCTAAAACTACAAAAAAAAACTCTAAAAAGGTAGTTTTCCTAAAAACTTTCATCCCCTTTTTTTTTTTTTACGTTGGGAAATGCATTTACGCACGACGTGTGGGACTCACCGGTGTAATACAGCCAGTACTACCCACTAAAACCCAACAAAACCTTCCCCCGTCTTAATGGGGCGTCGCAGGATCGCTTACGCATTCAACTACGACGCCCCGACGGTAGGTCCGCCGAAGCAGACCACCACAACCATGGGGTTGCTCCACAGTCCACTCTGCTATCAGAGAAGTACCAGGAGCAACCCGCATGGTACACCGCCCTCCGAAGAGGGCCACCTCCCCCCGCCCACCGAAGTGCTTCTGAGCTTCGCTACTGCTACTGAGCCCCCCCACCACGACAAGGTGAACGCACGTTGGGGGGGAAAAACTTTCATCTCCTATTTTATCCTCTTATGGGTTGAATTTTGGAAAACGCTGAGATACGTAACTCATTATTTTTGCCGTACTCAATTCATAGGAAATTTCATGCAAATATGTCCAAGGAATAAAAAGTTTCATACAAACTTTTAACCCCTATTTCATCCCCTTGAGGGTTGAATTTTGAAAAATACTTCCTTTGTGGATGCTTACGTCATAAGAGGAATACGTGTGCGAAATTTTAAGCTTCTAGCCCTAACTAAGGGTTTGGCCTGTGCGTTGATACACCAGTCAATCACGTTTGCCTTTTATATATATACTCGTATATGTCCCAACAAAGCTCCTGTTAAAAGCGGAGCTCAAAATTCCAATTCTAAGAGGTTCTCCATCGAACTTTAAGTTTTCCCATACAAATTGTATGGAAAATATGATTTTTAACACTTTTTTGTCCTGCAAACTGTGACGAAAATATTTTTCAAAAAAATGAATGAATGGACCGTTTTTAGTATTAAATTTACTACAAAAAGTTCCATTGAGTCGAATTTCTATCTTCAATATTTGATTTGTTATATGGCTTTGAAGTTCAAATTTACGGTTTTTTGCATTTTTTAGCTAAACTGTAAGAGTTAGAGAAAAATGTTAAATGACAAATTTGTAGTACGTTTAAAATTCTATAAAAAAATATTTGTCAACGTTTTCATATCACCAATAACAAAAAAGTTACAGACTCACGAATATTATAACTGATGAAGTTATTATAACTGATGAAGTTATTTATTAAGAAATAACTTCATCAGTTAGAGTAGGTTAACTGTTTTCTAAATAATTTTTAGCTA